GTGTATCTATGCAATAAATGGTACCAAAATACTGTGCTCCTATTTTTTATTCACGACTTCAGAATTTTTTTTTAAAAACATGTTGGATCTATTTCAGTCATAAACAATCGAAAAATTCTATTTTTAACCAGGACCTTTTTTTTAAGTTAAAATTTGTTGCCTAGTGATTATAATCAATAAAAAGATTTAATTTTTTTTTAAATGAAAATAAACATCTAGTTTAATAAAATATTAATTTGGTAATATACAGGGTGTCCAGAAATTGTGCACAAAAAGGGGCTGATTCTACTTGAGAAATTATTGCCAAAGCTAATATAAAACCACAAATAACCAAATAAATGCCTTTAAGGATGATTTTTTAAATCTATATTTTTTATAACTATTCTATTGTACCTACTGATTTAATCAAATTTGGTAAACTAAATTGATTTTATTTATTTCAAATATTATGTTTCAGGAGACTCAAGATTAGATATTTAGATATAAAAGGTGCAGTTTTTAATCATGCAATCCATGTATTTTAAAATAAAAGCGATTAAATCACACAAGACTATAATAGTAAATAGTAGTCTGTTACACTCAGAGAAATATCATGCCATGAAAAGCATATGAAATTATATTAATTTAAATATTCGGGTAAATTTGATTCAAATAGAAAAATTTGTAGTTTTATATTCATTTAAAAATAGTTTCACAATAATTTTAAACACTTTTAAAGTGTACCCTCTTTAAAATATATATACAAAAAGAAATCTATTTATTTAATTGCCTTTCTCAACGTTGTACACCTATTAATTTAATGACACACCAATGACGCCAAAACATATTTGAATCCCTTTGAATTATTATAGTTTTGAATGATTTTACAACATTTTTTCTCTCAGTGTAGTTGTTTAATTTTTAGTTTAAAACGTTGGCGTCCTGAAGTATGATATTCCTTAGTAAACACAGTGTGAGAGATTTTTAAAAGTTTTAAGACAACAATGTTCTATCGTCTCCTAGCATCTTTTAAAGCTCCTACGTATACGATTAATCTAGGCGAGAGCTCTCGGTATTGGCAACAGACAACAATGTTCTATAGAACATATATTTAAAAGTTTTAAGACAACAATGTTCTATCGTCTCCTAGCAATTTTTAAAGCTCCTACGTATACGATTAACCTAGGCGAGAGCCTCCGGTATTGGCTAGCGCTTTTTTGTTCTCATTTGATTACACTATTACCTAGAAATTTTTTGTTTTTAAATTTGGCATCTCCATTGTTATAAGCGCGAGTTCTGGGACACCCTGGACATATTATGGTGACGTTTCAATTTTGGCGAATGCGCCGGGATAGAACCATAGAAGTTTTGTTAATTTTACTAACCAGAGGGTTACTATAGTACCATATATGGTTACCATATATGGTTTATCGGCGGAAAAAATACATTTTTAAAAGCCGAAAATTTGTTAAAAACATCTTAAAGCAATAGATTTTGGTAAAGAAATATTTTTAGATAATTTTGTTTTGATTTTATGACACCTCAAAGTAGATGTTTTTAAAACAGTAAAATTACCCACACATTTAATAAACTATATCTTTTAATCGAAAAAAAAAATTATATATTTTTAAATAAGTTTAAAGTACACCTTAATCTACATATGAGACATTCTTTTACATATCGTACGGATTACAGAAAACATATTTTTTCAAATTTTTAAAATGACTTAATTTTTTTTTACAGCATCTTTTCATAAATTTAGCCGACCCCTATATCGGAATTTTTGCAGAAAATTTATTTTTCCAAAGATATATTGATTTAAACTTTTGATAAAATTTGAAAAAATGCTGAATTCTTTTGTACTTAAAATTCATTATCTCCGGTTCTACTGATCGGATCGATTTCATTTTTTTTTTATTTTAAACCATATTACATAGTCTTTTTAGATAAATATTTAAAAAGTTTGTGTTTTGTTTATTATATGAAAAAAATATTTTTTTTTGTATAAACAGATTTTTTGTGTTTGCCCCCTCTATGAAAAAAAATGAAAAAAATACTGTTCTATGCACTATTTATTACTCTACAAAATGAATTTTTCAGAAAAATGGAGACTTTTTTGGATCGGAAGATATTAAATATTTTCGAGCGCGTGACCGGTACAAGCCGTAAGGGGGCATCCATTAATTACGGGAGGCGTTTAGGGGAGGGAGGGGGTCAAGCCAAATCTCATTAATTCTCACGTAAGGGAGAGGGGGGGTCTCGGCAAATATCACGTAATTTTTAACAAAGTATGTTTTTTTAATAAATCCAACAGAATCAAGCAGTTTAACGTATAAACATTAAAAATAAGCATTTTTTAAAATCTCACGTGAGATTAGGGGGAGGGGGTTGAGCCAAATCTCACGACATTTCAGCAAGGGGGGAGGGGGTCAAAAAATCGCTAAAATTGACTCACGTAATTAATGGACACCCCCTAATCAGACATCTTCGAAACGCTAACACATTTAGGATAGTGTAAACTCATCATCGTTTTAAAAAAATACCAGCGCTTTTTGTAAATTAATTCTGATTTTAAAGGTTTTCAATAATTTTAAATAAATTAAATTTTAAATAATACAAACTCCAATTAATGAGTAAATTTATTAACTGGCAGAATTAACATTTGCACAAATAAGTCACCAATTAAAAGATGTCGAATCATGGCACTCTTATACAAAATATCACGTCACCCGCCACATGCACTAATACGTTTGAATATTACGCGCTTGACAGTCCTGTCACGCGCTCGAAAATGTTTAATATCTTCCGATCCAAAAGAGTCTCCACTGTTCTGAAAAATGTATTTTGTAGATAAAGAAAAAGCGCATAAAATAGTATTTTTTCCTTTTATTTTATAGAGGGGGCAAACATGAAAAACTAGTTTAAAAAATTAATCTGTTATTAACTCCCTATACTTAAAAAAAAATTTTTTAATTTATTTATTTGAAAAGCCTATTCAATAAGGTTTAAAACAAAAAAAAACAAAATCGATCCGATCAGTAGAACCGGAGATAATGGGTTTTATGTAGAAGAGAATTCATCGTTTTATCGCAATTCATAAAAACTTTATATCAATATATCTCTGAAAAAACAATTTTTTTACAGAAAACCTGATACACGTATCTGCTTATTTACTGAATAGAAGCGGTAAAATTTTTTTTATGCGAATCCAAACCCTGAAGTCAAAATAGGTGTACGATTTGTAAAAGAATGTCTCATATATAAAAATTCCTATTTGAATAAAAAAATCAAAATTAAATGTTTAAAACAGTGCTCTATGATAATCGAAAAACGCATTTAAAAAATAAAAAACTTTAAAATTTTTCATTAAAATATAGTTAATTATACGTAATAACTTCTATTTAACACATTAAAAAAAAACATTTATTTGTAATAAAACGTAGTAAAACGCTGCTTTTTGACCATAGTGCGCCGGGGGCTGAGCCCCCCTGTGGTCTGGGTGCTACAGAAAATTTGGAAAAAGGAAGTACAACTTTTGCCTGCAGTACTTTTTGCAGTAATTTTTTTTGTTTTGCCAAGAATGTTTCTGTTGACAAGAAGACTTCAGAGAAGGTCCATGCTGATCATAAAAGAACCAAAAAAATTGACATTCATAGACTGTCCAGGAAGTTTAACGACCTCAAAAACCGTAATATTTAGTTTTTTAATTTTATACCCGTTTTTTTTTTATTTATATTATTGTATATTGTTTTAAATTTGGCGTAATTACTTTTATTCCTACAGTTTATAAACTATTATTTTTCACATTTTAGACATAAATTGACCTGAGATTTGTGTTTCTTTAATGGTTACAAAACTTACAGCTTTTTACTACTTTTATACACCTATTTAAAAATGAATTAACATTTTTAACCCTCCCCTACGGGCCTGTTGTGCCTACTATGCTTCACACCCAAAAGTTCCACCTTGAGATTTGATTACAAATAATTGATTGATAATATTAATATATTGTACTATTTTCAGAAATGGTTTAGTAAGGTAGTAACAATTTTTTTTAATTAAAATGAAATTATTACCAATTAATTTTTCACGATTTAAATAATTAATAATTTATAATAATTATTAAAATTGTTGTGTTTTAAATATTTATTAATGTAATACAAATTGTAACATATTAATAAAAAACACAACTAATTAAATCTAAAAAGTATATATAATTTTTTACACGCAATTTGAGTGTAAAAAATTGACGCAAACATATAAAAGCTAATAAGTAATATTAAATTAAATTTGCCCCACCCAGGTTGGTGTAAGTTTGATACCACGTTTTTTTACTACAACTATACAAATAGTATATGTAAATAACAAATATTCGTTTTATATTTTTAGACATCAACACGTGTCTACAGAACATTTTGGTTAAATGTTGTATTTGCATGAGTGTGTAACGCATATGTATATGCGTTATCATATAATATGTATTCAATTAAAATAAATGAATTTTCACGTGTAATTATGAATTAATGGGACATTATAATGTATACTATTCACAATAATATGTGCATAAAGGCGCTCTTGTATTGTTAGTAGTATTCTCTTTTGAATGAAATTCGTAGACACACTGTATATTAGGAAAATTAGATAAAATGAATGGTTTTAAATTTTATTGTAACATGACTTCCTAGAAACTCATGTAATTAACATTTTTGTAGATAATTTAATGCTCCTAAGCGATTAACAATCATTTATTTGAAAAAGAAAAGTCATCATGGGTTGCAGAAAAAAATAATAAAACTAATTGGGTGTCCCAAAAATTGGGCACGTGAACCTATTTACTTAAGGAATGTATACAAATTTACTGTTTGCAAAGGTTTTTCTAAAAATTAATTGCTTTATAAGGAATTCGAATTAATTAAAGTAAATCTAAAAATAAAATCGAATTTAAGAGGTAGCGCACAGCCTTCTATAAATTTGCAAACGTCGGGAGGTGAATAATTTTAATTCAGTTTAAAATTATCGTGCTTTAAAGCAGGTGAAACGTATTTAAGGGGGGCGCTTACCGTAGCTACATAGAAACAATCAAGTGGCACAAAAATATGAGTGATTGAAAGAAAATTCAAAATATAACAGTGAAAATTTAATTTTTCAAATTGGTAAGTAATTTAAAATTTTTATAAATAAATATTTATCAGGGCTTTTAATTTAAAACTAGCCACCCTTAATAAAGTTAATTGCTAAACAATAATACAATCTATTCTCAAACCCTTGTCGAACTTTTTGAAACTTTCTAGCAGTTATCTGCCTACATTTCTGAATTAATATTCGTTTGAGTTCTTGAATGTTCTCAGGTGGTGTTTTGTAGAATTGTGTTTTTAAATGACCCTAAAGAAAAAAGCAAGTGGCGTTAAATCTGAAGATCTTGCCGGCCATTCTTGAGCACCTCTTCTACCAGTCCTTTCTTTGGTTCAATCATTCGCTGACTGGTAGAGCATAGTGAGGAGGAGCTCCATCTTGTTGAAAGTACAAATGCACTGTTAAAATTTTTTGCAAAAACAAAGGATGAGTAAAATTACAAATCAGTGTATACCAATACAAAATTATAATACAATTTGAGTAATCTTCCAATACATATTGGGAAATCTACTAAGATAAGTTGTAATTTTACAATCTATATGTATAGATTTACAAACGTTATGTAAATTGCATAGTATGTACCGATTGTGGCAATCACGTGTTCTTACATCTCGCCTCGGTTGACTTAGGTGGAGAGTATATAAGCTCAGGTGTCTTTCGTGTCTTTGCCCGACAATGATAAGACCTAAAATAGGCCTATCTATCTAGCTGTCTGTCGGTATTTGAAGTTGGTGGACCGCACTTAAAACAAAAACTCTGGCGAGGTAAAGGTTCAATTTTTTTAAATCTTTACAGTAATGGGTCAAGAGAGTTTCTTGAAGAAACTAAGAAAATTGCAGGTTTTTTTTCGTAGTATAATTACAATACCATCATTCGTAAATTACTAAATATTTTTAGTGTAATTTGTTGTACAAAATAACAATATTGATATTGTAATATTGCGAAACAAATTTTCTTCACTTCAGTAAAATTGTAAAATATATTTTGTAATTTTCTTAAACTGAGTTGAAATAGATTGTATAGTATAATTACAATACACCATTTTAAAATAACTAAACATATTTAGTATTTTTTTAGCAATATTACAATACCTGTTAGTAATGTTACTGAACAAATTTTTAATAAATGCTTAGTGAATTTTAACAAACGTTTTGTAATTTTCCCAAAATGAGTTGTAATGAATCGTGTAGTGAGTTTTATTATAACTATATTGTGGTGCGTAAACTTCCTAAACATGTTTAGTAAAATTACAATAGAAATTTTTAACAGTGTATCCTTCATCAAGCAACACGTTCCCTTGTTGGTCCATCTTATTTTCCAATGAGTGGGTAATACGTGGGTCTATAACATTTTCAAGAAGATCAAGATATAATTGTCCAGTTAAGTTTTCTTCGATAAAAAGCGGTCCAATTATTTCGTTGCCAAGAATACCATCCCAAACATTGATTTTTTGAGGATATACAGGTATGATCCTCTCGAAAACCATGTGGATTTTCATTGTCCCAGTACCTACAATTGTGTTTATTTACAAATCCATTTAAAAAAAATACATTAATCGCTTTGCCTCATTTCCTAACAAAAATGGATTCTTCATTCGTAGTCATCTTCGCTGAGTTACTGGCACATTTGAATTCTTTTAAACTATTAAGAAGTATTCTTTTAGTACTGTTAAATAGCAATTTTCAAGAGTTTTCCAATAAGATTTCCCTTCACATATCCTAGAAAAGGTTTTGAAATTTTTTTGAAACTATATAAATAGGTATATATTTAAAGATCTTATTCATATATTTCGGGATCGTAAGGAATAAATAAGAAACTAATTAAATAATTTCAACGTTAAACTTGAACTTTAATTTTGTCGAGGTTTAAGGTAAACATCGTTTATGGTGCCGTGTTAGTAACACGTGCCGAAATCTTACTTAGGTAGGTTGCTTACGTTCTCTACTAACGATTACCGCACTCGTGGCCTTCGCCTCGTGCATTAAACCACACTTTATTGTGTTCACGTGAAAACCGCCTAAATTTACATTCCCACCAAATAAATTAGATTACTCACCCAGATTCACAGGGTGTTGGTACGTTGGTAAATACTAAGACACGTGGCTAGATTTAAAAACCAAAAGACAAAATACAAGCTTTATATATTTTTATAATTAAATAAATAACATTGACAAAATAAATGGTTTTGTTTGCTGCAAGGGAATAAACAATAGTTAAACTATTTTTTATTTTTTTTTAGTTGTTGTTAGGAAAACAATTTAAATAAGAAAGCTGCAATTAAGAAATATATAAATAAAATACAAAATATAGAAAATTTAAGTCATTGGCAGCTCGTGAGTGTATAGGGTGGGGCTACATGAGGTTAATTTTGTCTAAATAAATAAAACACATTTGTTTTTTAAAACTTTAAAATATATATCTGGAACTTATATGGATGGATAAATACAGATATATAAATAAAACAAATAGAATATCAGAGCAATCGGAATACCCACCCGTAAAACTCCAATTGTTTTTGACGCGGCCTAATAAAATACAATGCCAATGCCACTTATAGGTTTCGTACCAATTTAAGGGGCATCCATTAATTGCGTGAGGTGTTTAGGGGGGGGTCGAGACAAACCTTACTCAATTTCATGTGGGGGAGGGTGGTCTCGGCAAATATCACGTTTTTTTTAAGAAACAGTTTAAAAGTTGAGAGAAAACTGGGTTAAATTAAGTAAAAAATGTGTCTTCATTAAAATAGGATTATATCATACATAATAATATTAATCGCTGTTTAATTATGCACTATGCACTAATTATGCAATAAATTCATTATTTGGAAACAATTCATTTATTTATTTGATATGAATAACTGTCCATAAATATTCATTAAATAATCAAATTTAAAAAAAGTTTGGAACATCTAAAAGTGCACGACTCTGTGTAATTAATAATAGTGGTAATTTGATAGTAAAAAAAAATATTTAAAAAAATTCTTTTCTTTCATTATTATCAATATTAAACAAATTTGATGCTACGTTTAACTAATAATATTAGAAATCTTAAATACCATGCAGTCTTAAATATAAAAAAAAATATAAGCAATTTGCTTTTTTAAATAAAACTAATGGAGTCAAGCACAGATTAACTTATTTACATTAAAACTATGCATTAAAAAAAACTCACGTAATTAATGGATACCCCTTATTTGAAAAACTCGTGAATATTGCTTACCCTGCCTGTTATCTTTAAATATTGATGAAATTTTTGGGGTTGGACGACTGCCAATGTCTGTCTTTTTCAGTTTCGTTTATTTAAAAAAAGCGTTTTAATTATTGAGAGAATAATGTTCTAAACAGGATTCATTTAAAAAAAACAAAAAAATTAACTAAAGAAAACCTTTATTACCTTAATTGAAACTCAGTACGACTTGTTGCTTAATAAAAACTGCTTATTCTACCTGCAAGTGTAGAGTGAATGTACACCACAATAATAAAATAATAAATTTTACCAATCGAGTCAAAAACTTTAAAAGATCAGACAACAGTTTTAAATAATTTAATCTGAATCAAAACAAAAACACCCGCTCTACACACACTGCAACACAAACTGCCAGCCACCACATCTTCAGTCATGTGATATACCTACTACCACCAATTGTAGCAAGCCCAAGCTCCAATTTTCTTAAGCAGAGACAAATAGACGCGAACTCGCCTGATTTAGTAGGTAAATAGTTTATCCTACCTACCCTGACGAGCCGCCACTCAGTTAAGTATGATATGGATCATATATTTTTCCTAAAAACGCACGTGGAGAATTAAAATAGTAGTTCTGAGTACCTAATCGAAGGCGTAGGTAAACAACCATTTAAAACTAATTTATGTATAAACTTTATCAAAAAATAGATAAAATATGGTCAAAAGTAATGAATGAACAATTTATTTAACCAGTGGTGTAAATTGCACATGGTGTATACATCTTAAATTTTATTTTTGTATTTTTGTGTCTTGTAATTACATACAAAAAATTAACATTTTTATTTTATTTTAGGGATGTACCCTGTATAACTTTTCAGATTTTGCTTTTCCTGAAGAACATTTTATATTTCACCTATAGGCAAGTGCATATATTTCTTATATTTTGTTTTGTATAATAAATATAACACATTTACTAGTTATATTATACTTTTGATTACGTTATACAATTACTTTATGTAGCTGCACTTTGGTAAAAGAACTCCTCATATAACTACCTACTTTTCTTGATTGGTTAGGCACTTCACAAAATTGGATCCAAATTCCAATTCGTAGCTATTCAATTTGAAAATTTGATTGGTGTACTCAAAAAAAAATACTGATTATATTTCACTAATGATTCGTTTATTAGATAATTATAGTTAATTATAAAATGATTCTAATAAAATAAATGTTTTATTTTAGGTAAACATGGCAGCAATAAACAAACTGTTAATTTTTTTATTGGTCAAAGTGGCTGTTGCATTTGAACCATGTAACCCAATTGTATATACACAAAGTGGACAAATTATAGGAACTTACAATATTTCCAGATATGGAAGAAGTTTTGCCTCTTATAGAGGTATCCCTTATGCTCAACCACCTATAGGAGATCTCAGATTTAAAGTAAGTAAATTTCTTTTATCTTTTTCGAAATACTATATTTTCATTTCATATACTTATATATTTTTTTCTTCGACTTTAATAAAAAGAAAATAAAATGATTTTGCAAACAACAGACAATAGTAGATTGTTCTACAAGTAAATAAAAGTGAGAGTTTTCCAGTGAGTGAATTCACTTTTTAAAAACGTTGGTTTCACGAGCCTTGGCGAGTGAAACCAATTTTCACGAGCAGGAAAACGAACTTTTCTTACGAGTTGAACATTCTATTTTTTGTATTCTTAATGAAAAAAGTGGAAAACTTCTTAATACAAATTGTTTTTTTACAATCTCTAACATAGTTACTTATGAAAAGTAAACCGTAGGAACGCATGACAACAAATTAAATAAAAACAGAATTTTGTCAAATATTTTGAAAGCCGCGAGAGAAGCGACTCAAAATCTGCTTTAATCTAAGTCAAAAGAAAAATTTGATAAGACTTTTGAACAATTCTGCCAATGGAGAAACAATCAAGGGGTACAAGGTGTCAGTGAAAATGTTATGCTACACAGGGCATTGTATGCGAAGGAGTGCAGCTACCATGTTGGTTGATAATGCGGGCAGTATCCCTGATTTGAAAAGACTGGGGGGATGGTCTAAACATCTTCAACATCTGCTGAGGGTTATATAGGAGAAAGCATTCAAAATAAAATTCAAACATCGAAGAAAATTTTTAGAGGCTTCAATCAACATGAAGCTTCAAAGGATGACTCGAATTTTCCAAAAGTACAAATGGAATTTCATTCCAAAATATATCTAATTGTACATTTAATATTTATGAACATTAAAATTGTAATAATTTTTTTCGTTTAATGTCAGATTTGTGTGTATGGTTGTGTTGCTAACGAGTCAAATATTGCTAACTATTAAAGTGTTGCTAATTAGTAAAATAAAACATTTCTTTATTGAATTCTAGCTAATTAAATGGCTGTTTTTCATTAAGGATGCAAAAAAATTATACCAAGTTTTTTATTGGAACCAATTTTAAATATACTTTAAATTTTCCCTCACAGGGTAGCCAACATCAGCAAACATACAATATTATTTTTTATACCCACCAATTATTCTTAATGGGCGTTAAGGAAAAAAATTATAATATTTTTTGACTTTATAATGAACGATTTTAATTTTAAGGAGCCTGTGCCAGTACAACCATCATCCTTTCCATTAGATGCTACGAAAGAAGGACCATTTTGCATACAAAAGAATTATTTATTTAATACCCATCCGCTTGTGGAAGGACAAGAAGATTGTTTGTACCTTAATGTATACGCACCAATTTTAGATTCAACCGTAGGTATAAATTTCCATTACGTTATTATTTACAACTCCCCCTAATTATAATAATGAATAATTTGTTTATCAAATTTTATAAAAAAATATATCCATATACATTAGACTGGTTCAAAAAAATCGAATATATTTTTTTCTTCAAAGCCCGCATTGAAATATCTTCCTAGTAGTGAAAAAAGAAGCCTGTGAAAATTGTAGCTCTTAATATTAATATTTAGAGGTCGCTCACCGTGAATTTCTATTTTAAGTTTAAATAATACAGGAATTCTTTTTTCTTAACTTTGAAATTTTATAACTCGTTTTTGAGTGAACATATTGGAATAAGCGGAACATATTTTTAAAGAAAATTGAACGCTCTACAAAAAATGTTTCTTATATATTTTTTATAAATTTACTTCTTTTATAGTTATTCAAGGTTGAAATTAGACAAATAATAAATTTAACGTTTTTTTTTTCGATTAGTGGGATAATAATAAACCTTATCACTCATTATTGTACAGGATGGTCCAGTTTGTAATACATTAATTTTAATAGGTGATAAAGCATCAAAAATAAGGTAGACTTTCATAAAAAAACATTTCTTAAAAATGTTTCCTAAGAGAAATACAGGCTGTCAAAGTTTCCAAAAAAAAATAGTTTTCTCTTCACAACTTTTAGACCACAAAATTAATTTGGCACACAATGTAATATAGTCAGTGCCTTAATAATTATGTAGATAAATATTATAAAAAACATCAGTGCCGCAGTTACTTGGGGGGGCTGCTCCCCTTTTCACCTCAGTCTTTGACGCCACTGGAAATTTTAAAATATTAAATAAATGTTTAGGTCAAGTTTTTAATTAAAGGAAAAAATTTGCTCTTGTAAAATTTTGATTTGGGGCTTCGTTTCTAAAATATTTGCTCAAAAATGTTTCCTCGCAAAATTACATTTTTAGATTGTCTGTTCAATTTAAAGATAAAAAAACTACTGTGCTTAAATTTTAATTTAGGGCTTCGTTTTTGAAATATTTGGGAACACACTCCAAAAAAACTGCGGCAAAAGTATTCTTGAATAAATAAATTAATTATTTAAAAAATGAAGCACTAAATCAAAATTTTACATGAGTAGTTTTTTTCTCTAATTTAAACAGATAATCTAAAAATGTGTTTATTATTAAAAAAAATTCCAGTGGCGCCTAAGGTGAAAAGCGTAGCAGCCCCCCAAGTAACTGCGCCACTGATGTTTTCTTTAAATAATTATCCACATCATTACTAAGACATTGACTATATTGTGTACAAAATTTGATAAAAATTGATTAAGTGGTTTAGAAGTTATGATGGGGAAACGAGTTTTTTTGTAAAGTTTGACGGAAAGCGTCTCTGCGAGGAAACATTTTTAAGCAAATATTTCAGAAACAAAGACCCAAATCAAAATTTTACAAGAGTAAATTTTTTCTCTAAATTAAAAACTTGACCTACAAATATATTTAAATTTTTAAAATTTTTAGTGGCGTCAAAGACTGAGGTGAAAGGGGGTACTTCTCCCCTTTTATTATTAAGGCACTGACTATATTACATTTTGTGCCAAATCTGATGAAAATTAATGTTGTGGTTTAAAAGTTATAAAGAGAAAACTAGTTTTTTTGTAATCTTTGACGGCCTGTATTTTTCTTAGGAAACATTTTTGAGAAATGTTAATTAATGAAAGTCTACCTTAAAATTAATGTATCACAAACTGGACCGCCCTGTATAATCTTTTTTAAAAATTTTATATAAATTATGTTTCTTAAAAAAAATTATCGCTCATTTCAATATGTCCACTCAAAAAAAAGTTATAAAATTAAAAGTTAAAAAAAATTCCTGTGTTATTTAAACGTTACATTTATTATATGTCTAATTTCAACCTTGAATAACTATTAAAGGAGTGAATTTACGAAAAAGTTATAGGAGACATTTTTTGTAGAACGTTCAATTTTATTCAAAAATATATAGAGTTCATACCAATATGTTTACTCAAAAACGAGTTATAAAATTTCAAAGTTAAGAAAAAAGAATTCCTGTGTTATTTAAACGTAAAATAAAAATTCACGATGAGCGACCTCTAAATATTTATATTAAGAGCTACAATTTTCACAGGCTTCTTTTTTTACTACTAGGAAGATATTTTAATGCGGGCTTTGAAGAAAAAAAAATATTCGATTTTTTTGAACCAGTCTAATATACATATACATTACAGATTACAATAATTATTGTTAAGTATTTCAAGTGAAATTTCGTAACTGTATTTTTAGGTAATTTTCCGGTAATTTAAGTGAAAATTCCATACCTGTAATTTTTAACCAATCAAAACGTGTATTTTTGATAGATCACCATGGCAACGGTTGAATTTTAGTGGAAATTTTTTCCTCGTGGGTACCCAACAGCGAATTAAGCTTAATTGCCTTTACTTACCGTTTTTCTTGTATCCTTTCTCTTGCTTACATTTATCCACTGTGCTGTCAGAACTTTATTTTTTGAAAATCGAACATAGGTATTTAATGTTAGGTTAGGTTGGGTGTTGGAGTTTCTGTTCATATTTCTGCTGTCTGCTACAGCACAGCCTGTCATATTTTAAATAGTTATTTAAACCAACAAATATAACAGAAACTTAATAAATAACCTGGTATAAAACACCCGTGCGTGGCTTTTAAATACCTCGTATAAATAGTTATTGCTGTTCAATAAATGCAGTAAAAACTTTACGAAAAACGTTGCAAAACCATCATGCGTGGCTTATACTTTAAAAAACATTAATATCAGAAAAAACTATGCAAAACTGTTTGTAACATTTGAATCTGGTTCAAACCGGTTTTTGTGAATCGTGGTTTAACATAACATTGAACCAGTAATGGGGAAAATATACTGGTTCAACGTACAGGTATAGCACACACCACAAGTAATTGATTGAATTTAATATCCTGGGATCTTAATTATTAAATTTATCTTTATTATTTTTGGGTTTCTTGGCTCAAAATAAGGATAAAGGCGGTAAAAATGCATAAAACCATAAACTCGTATATCTTAAAAGTACGCCACTCAATTTCATTCATTTTGTTCATTTTGATTTTAAATTACCTTTTTTTAATTTCAGATAACATTTCCCTTACCAGTGATGGTATTTATTCATTGGGGTGCTTTAATAACTGGAAGAGGTAGCAGCGATATTTTAGGACCAGAATATTTGATGGACAAAGACGTGATATTGGTTACTTTTAATTACAGATTGGGACCTTTTGGTAAGCCAAAAATAGAAAACTATTCTGCCATTATTTGTCAAGTACATCTTGCTAAACATTTTTATTAGGATATGTTTTTTTTACAAGGATTTTTGTCAACATTGGACGATGAAGCGCCAGGAAACAACGGTTTTAAAGACCAAGTGCTTGCCTTGAAGTGGGTGCGAGAACATATCGCAAATTTTGGAGGTGACCCAAATCAAGTGACGATTTTCGGTCAGAGTGCCGGAGCCGGATCTGTTCATTTACATATTTTAAGCGAACAATCTAGAGGTATATATATATACGACTAATAGAAAGTTGCCTATTATGGGGTACCATTTTAATTTTATAATTATTTTCCTTATTTAGTTTTTTTTATTTTTCAGTTTAGCAACGTTGTTTCTTTAATATGCGTGCAAGATAATACTACATAAAAAATCCTTAAAATATTATAATTTTTGTGTTAAAAAATAATTTAAAAATTCGGTGTCTACCCCATATAAGGCTAACAGCCTGTTATGGTGTCTTGGTATAACCTAATATAAGGTAGGTACCTAAAAAAATATCTGGTGCAATTGTATAGTACAAACAAAATAAAGAAAAATAAAAGGTATTTACAGCTTTAAAATTTGATTGGTATAAAAAACATAGTTATAAATAAGTTATAAAAAACTGAATATGATGTAGGTACAGATTCAACTTGTCTAATAGATTTTTTTTTAAACAACCATAGAAAAACAACTAAACAAATTAAAATATATTATAACCTAAACAACCCAGGTATACCTGGCTATAGCATCGCACGTAATATTGACGTCATATGTTGTCGTATGACTTTAATATGGCGTTAATATGAGGTACCCCATATTAGGACGCGTTCGGCAAATATTAAACATTGAAATATTTTTGTTTAAATAAAGACAGTAACAAAAACCTATATGCACAAAATACATATTAACAATCCTACTATTAGTCTATACGTAACAAATAGCCAGGACTACCCTTGTATTTGAAAAAAAATCGTTTTAAAAATGACAGAACAGCTGATCGGTACATGGCTTTAATATTTATTAAGTATAAAACCATACAAGCATATATGCTGTAGGTATGTATCTTTGCACCCAAAACTAGATACATCTATGTTTTATTGGACAAAGCACAACTACCATATACCTATAACTATAAAGTTATAGGTATATGGTAGTTGTGCTTTGTCCAATAAAACATAGTTCTCATCATCTAGTTTGGGTGCAAAGATACATACCTACCCCATATTAGGAGGGGTATATAATATATAATATAATATACCGTATATTCCTCTAATACTTATTAATTATTAAATAATAGTAATATTATTGATCAACTACTAACTATTTTTGTAGGTTTATTTCACAGAGCAATCAGTGCAAGTGGCAGCGCATTAAGCTTATGGGCAAAACCGTTTAATGATTTGCAAAAAACAGTCACCGGAGTACAAGCCACTCTAGTGGGCTGTCAAAATTCCACTGGAAGCAGTGCAGACTTGATAAAGTGTCTTAGAAACGTACCTGCAGAAACTCTTGCCAACTCGCAAGACTTATTTAAAGTAAAAATAAAACCGAAAATATATATTTTATATGGCACGCCGTTTTAACATTAATTAAATATTTTTAACTATCGTGTATTGAAAGACATAATTTACTAGCAGTTCACTTCTATAAAACAGTATTATTTCCAATCAATTTTTGGAAAAATTTCGAACCATCATTTTTTAATAAAAATAATTTCTCAAGTATAATTTATTTGGGCAGAGTTTTGTAAATCCTAATTTTATATATTTTATAAAATTATTTAGATTATTTAAATTTAAAATAAAAACACATATAAAAGATTTTCTACGAAAATAGTTTAAAATGTTAAAGTGGTTTAATCTCAAAACAATTGATAATAAAAAAAATATTTTAAATTTAAAATAAAAATGTAAAAGTTTAAAATATTGGTTTGATAGTCGAAACATTTTAAAAATGTCATTTTTAATACAAAAATTCTAGTTAGTTTGGAATTTTAAAGTGGTAATTTTTGGATTAAAAATGTATTGACTTAAATCGATTTAAATGACTCTTGATCGAGAAATTGAAACCAAAAACTTTCATTTTCAACAAATTTAAATTAATAGATTTTTAACATAAACATGATAGTCGATAAATTTTTAATACAAAAATTACTACTTTTAAATTTAAAACTTAAATTTAAATGTAATGTGAGAATTTTTGTATTAAAAATTTATCGACTATCATTTAAATGACTCCTCACAAATTTAAACCGAAAATTTTGTACAATAAAATATTTAAAATAAAATTTTTAATAATCAATATTTTTAAGTGCTAAACTTTAATCTTCAAACTATTATCTAATAAATTTAAAACGGCGTCCCATAATTTTATGTTGTGTTACATTTACCCATTTGTTTGCGACTCACCCCTTTATTAATTGTGCAATTTTACCAGAATTTGTTTTTAAGTGTAGATCTTCATAAACTGTGTTTTTGGAACAAAAAATGTCAGTTTTTAAAAGAAAGTAAGAACGATTTTGTATACAAAATCTTTATTTTGTATACAAAATCTTTAGCTATAGCTAAATTAAAAATGAACAATAATAACTATTTACAAAATGGATAACTTGACAGAATAAATTTTTGTAAATAGTAACTATTTAGCTACAAAATCGTTCCTACTTAAAAAATTTCAATAAAATTTAGTATAAGGTCGTTTTGAGGGGTGGTAGATTTTTTTTAAATCGCTAAAATAAATTCTTAAAAATGTATTCTCATAAATAAAGTTTATCAAGATTTACATTTTAAAATCGCATAATAAATAGAGATTATACAGAGTCGCAAACAAATGGATTACACTGTATAAGTATATACATATTTTTTTTTTAGATCATTGGCTTTGATCCATTGGTGGTATTTTCCAGTGTGATAGAAGAAAAAACCGACAGAAATCCAAACCCATTTTTAACTAAGCAACCCTTGCAATATATTCAAGATGGCGATTTTTCAAATGTACCTTGGATCTCAGGAAATGTCGAAAATGAGGGAATATTAAGAGTATCCAGTAAGATTTACATTACGGGGCAATGCCCCAGGGGCATATTGATAAGTCATTAGAAGTATAAAAATACAATTCAATAATATTAGAACCAATGAAATGGCAGTTTTCCCAAGTAAGGCATTTTATTAGGTCGACAATATTGTGGACATTTTATTCCTTTGTTTATTTGATTAAAATATTGAATTCTAAACTAAAAGATGTTTTATGGATATAACAAAACATTTCCTTTACTTTCAGTATATATAAAAAACTACTTATATATCGGATTTAAACGGTTTTTAGTCCATTTTCAAGAGATACATTTCGATAGGTATACAATTAAAATTTTACATTTGACATAATACAGAATTCCAAGTTGGTTATTCTATTGTTTTAAAGATTTAATTTAAATTATTTTTAGATAATTATTATAATAATTAGTATTTCTGTGGGTAAAAGGCATAAGGGGATAAGTCAAAACAAGCAATTTTTCAGTGGAGCCTTAAACGTGTTCGCATTAATTTAGGAAATATATTTATGGTTAGTGAGTATACCCTTTTGGTAGCACATGTCATATGCTACCAAAAGGGTGTACCCGCTAACCATAAATATATTTCCTAAATTAATGCGAACACGTTTAAGGCTCTGCTGAAAAATTGCTTTTTTTGACTTATCCCCTTATGCCTTTTACCCACAGATTTGTCGCAGAAAAACTATACTATGCAACTCGTTTCTAAACACTCGCTCGCAAGGTAATTAAATTTGTGACTATAATGGCGTTAATTAAATTTTGATAAACTGTTGACAGTATGGTATGAAATTTTGACAGTAATCGTTTGAAGAATGGTTCTATCCATCTTGGCCATCTTTTGGACATTCTAAGGACTTATTAATTTACAATACATGGTGTTACCAAATAAGTTGTCATTCTTTAAGGGGATCATAGTAAGTTTTTCCTCTATTATTTTTGAATTGCTGCCATTTTTTTTGTAAAAAAATCATTTAAATTTGTATAAGCAAAGTAGACATTTTGGGCCGCCACTGGATGTTCCTGACCAATGACTACTGACGCAAAATATGCTTGCACAGTGGGCAATAACCTACATTCATTAAAAATTGACATTTGTGTTATCATCGTTTACTTTCTTGATAATTGTTTTTTGTTTTGCATACTCAGCTATTTTTAGGTACCCATTTTGAATAAAACAATACTTACTTTTTATTGTTAGGTATGGCGAGGTTTTCGTTTCCGTTGATTTTAAATTTTACCTTTCACTTTTTACGTCGATTGATGCTCACGTAGCTATTTTTTGAAGAGTTCCAGAAAATCATAATAAATGTTGAACTATCCCGCCGTTATTATCCACACAGTTTAAACCAATCATTTTGGGGTGTTATATTTGTTCAAACCAAAGTCTAATTTTTTATGTACTTTGAAATAACATTTTAGTTGTTTTATCTAAATTGTAAAATTAGTACAGGTATTTTTTTATAAAATTTTAGTATGTTTCGGGTGTTACAAGTACAAAAATTAAACACTTTATATGGACAAAATCGATGTTTTATTAGTCTCTAGGTACTACAAAATAAGTTAGTAACAAATAAACATAAATATAATGAATTATCCTTAAACATAACTCGGCAAAAAGGGTAAAATCGTTATTATTGCCAAAAATCGGTAAAAATATGATTATTGACGAAAATCTAAGTATTCGGTATTTTGGTAGGTGCGTTGCCATTTAGGTAGAAACCACGAAATTTCGGTAGGTTCGACAACACCATCGGAAAAGCAGTCACACCTCTTTAAAAGAGGTGTGACTACTTTTCTGATGAAGGCGCTAGTGGGCAGTCGAAAGAGCCCTAAAAATAATACTTATTGCAATAGAAGCAATACACACACATATATCGACATATGAAAAAAGTTTTCGGGTGTTACAGTTTTTAATAATAAAAAAACACATATCAAATTAGTTTCATGCTCAGATATTAGTTATTATTTTAAATTATTACCACCATATCGTTACTTTTACTAAATATTATTAAACTAATCAATCTGTAAGGTATACAATAATAAAACAATTACATGATTTTTCGTATCGGGTGTTACAGTGGCAAAGTAAGAAGAAAACCATTTTTTCGGGACTGTGACGCAATCCACCAATACTAAGATAAATACTCTCAAACCACAACTTTTCAAAACGGTTGATAAATTGATAGTTTTTTTTCGTATTTCCAATAGATAGATGCAAAATGGTCATTCAGCCAGTTCACTCGAGTAAAGATTTTAAAGACTAATTAACTTAAAAATTACGCGTTTCTTCTAGTCTTTTTGTCGCACATTATAATTTCGAATGTTTTCTTTCAAAATTCATCAGATTTAATGCGAAAAGAACATATTTATTTTTTCACCCTTAATATCGTTTGTCATGGAATTACCCATGTGTCGCTCTTGCAATCATATCCGGATGATTTCGAAATTCAGCAGTCGCTGCAGTATCAAGTTCGCGGAGTTATTTTAATGTGTCAACTTCTCTCTTTGATATACTAAACTGTTCATGTAGCCCAAGAAAAACCACAATAACAACCGAACTGTCAGTAATCAATGATAACACAGTACCTACTAACCGATTCTGAATAAGTTTAAAGGTTTGCTTGATATTACATAATACACGGTGCGCATACCTGCTTCTTTTTTGCTTGAATGAATAATATCATTGTTTTTAAAATCAATGTTGATATATAGGTCAGTGACATCCAGTGGCTCCCTGGTTCTGTCCAAAAAATTTCATAATTTTTTTGTTAAAAAGGTCTAATGCAAAAATTATAGAGGAAAAACTTTTTTGTTTTGGCGTGTCTTTATAGGTTTTTAAAACTTTATTTCAAACCAACTTAAAATTCGCACCTATAAATAAATAATTAAGATTAACCAGTTTTTTTTATTTTTTTACAAAAATTTTAAAAAAGTTCAAAATTGCATCAGTTAAAACCAACTGTATTGTATTGCATTATTTTGATTAGACATTTGGACAAAGTGTCTGATCACATTTGATAAAAGTGGCACTAACTTTTAGCTCTTAAACTCTTTTTTTTTAAATTTAGGTTTGGTCCGCCAGAAGCAACAAAGAAGTATTTTTAATGCCAACTGTACATCTTTGTTACCGCAAATGTTAGTGCTAACAGCAAGCGTGGCAGATGTTGAAGGAGAATTAAATAATATCACCCAAAAATATATGCAAGGAAAATGTTTTGCTGACATACACGATCCTAAAAGTATAAAGGGATTGATAGATGTAAAACATACTTATAAATCCAAAAGAGTTATTATTTTTATTTAAATATTTTTTAGCTTTATACTGATCGATCGTTCGCATATGGTTCTTATCAGACGGCAATGTTGCATTCTGCAATGGGCCACAGTCCCATATGGCACTATAATTTCAATTACAAAGGCCAATATACTTTTGGGGACTTGTTTGCTGCTACCAATGAAACAGTGAATTTCGACTGGGGTAAATAAAATGTTTTTTTTTACTTTTTAAATTATTTTTTTTAATAGCCTTAATTAACAGACTCTATTTTACAAAGGTTATTAAATTATATACAGGGTGATTCACTCAACTTATTCATTATAAGTTTATTTTATAAATACTAAAATTTGATAATTTTTTTTTAGCAGTTTTTAAAATATTTAATTTTTTTTTTAAATTTTGACATATGGATGGTCTTACCAATATATCTGTATTACCACTAATTGTAAACCTATTTTATGGTGTACCTGTTAACTAAGGAGCACTCTATCGAAAGTATTTGAAAATTTACAAAACTTTTCTAAAACTTTTCCGCACTCGCCATGTGTAAAAACATGTTTAGAATATCTTGATTAGTGCACTGTTTAAAATATCTGTGGTGTAAAATGTCTTACATTTTACACCACAGATATTTTAAACAGTGCATTTAATGTAATCTTAAAATGGTGTCTAAATCCAACACCAAGTGGTGTTAACATAAACACCATGAATTGTTATATACAGCAAATACCAAAACGGTGTTTATCTAAAAATATTTTAGAAGTGCACCTACACTCTTAGAAAAGACCTGGTATTTGTAACTAACTTATTATCGTTGGGGTGAAACTGTTGCAGAAAATAAAATTTTTTGTTTTTTGTAATCAGTACCTTTATATGTGTAACTGCTTGCATCATTACCTGAAAAGATTTAGTTTTGTTGTTGAGTATTATTTACTGCAAAAAGGCGATTAAGTTATTTTAACTGAAACTTTGTGTTGGCTAGAAGCAGTGGCGTATTTAGGATTTAGCTCCGGGGGGGGTCCAAAAAAACTAACTAAATATGTATACATATTTAGTTAGTTTTTTTGGACCCCCCCCCGGAGCTAAATCCTAAATACTATACTATGCTATGCTTTAATAACTAAAAAATCACAAATTAGGAACTCTTCTGATCCGATAAAATAGTAAATAAAAGGAACTTTTTTTGTAATAAAAATAATAAAATATGTGCGCCCGGGGGGGTCCGGACCCGGCGGACCCCCCCCTAAATACGCCACTGGCTAGAAGTATTGACAACATTATCTCAAAAAAATCATTTCGGCGGTAAAATGTTTTTGTTGGACCAAATATTTAAGTAACATTCTCAACTGACTGAAATTAGTCCGTGGAACTAACGGTTCGGTTGTATAAACTATGCGTCACTTTTCACACAGCTAAGACACCAGCGGTGTGAAACAAAGTGTCAGTTGGGGATGTTGTCTCTGTAGGTTAATGCAAATGCAAACTTTGTGCATTTCGCGCGCGATTTGTCCAGCCCGGCGCGTGCTTTACTTTTAACCTGTAAACAAACGGTGTTGCACGGCGTCCAGACTTCGGTGGTGTTTGTTCTTTTGTATTTGTGTATCAGCTCGTGTGTAGTGTATATTTTAGGTAAGAAACTAGTTTATTACAATTAGTCATTTGCCCCTGTAAATTCAGTGGCGACATACTTTTTAACTATTCATATATATAAGAATATATTCTTATGTGTTGGATACTTATAGATATCTCGAACAAATAATATGGATGAGCGGACTAAAGTAGCAGATTTATTAGGAACATGGGGTTTTAAAAGGTAAGGCAAGTATGTTACGTTGTACCTAAGAATCATTGTTAAGTTGTTAAACAAAGGCTTGCACTTCACGTAAACATCACGGTTTACTGAAGAAGTATAGTCAAATTTCATCTTAATCTGTGTATATTTACCAAATAATCGTTTTTGTTTTATTGTTAAAATATTTATAAATGTTTTCTTAGAGTAATTATTAATTTTTAAACCAAAATTTGGTGTTTTCAGTTATATTGTTATTTTTTAATTTATAATAAATATTTATAAAACGAACGGGCATGAATTTCCTTTCTCTATTTTTTATAATATTTACACAAAAAGTGTTATATTTACTAAGCAGGTATGTACTGTGGAATAATACCAATTTGTTGTTGCTACTAATGCAAGCATTTAATATTAAATATAACTTAGTTACAGTACAAAACAAATTTATATTATATCAACTATTAAATTCTTTAAATGTACCTTTTTTCATGTAATTTCAATTAAAAAATAAATTCCTGCATGATACAATAAGCGATTCTATAAGAAAGTGACTAGCGATTCTATAAAAAAGTTAATGTTTGTTGCGATAAATAGCAAGTGCAGTTGTTACGCTGCTAAAATGACAGACTAATCTGATTGCATTAAATATCAATTATTTGTATGAAAAAAAAAACTAATTTCGATGCACTTAAACTTGTTGGTTGGAGCTGCCAATATTGGCTGTTACGACAATAAACTGTAAAAACAAATTTGTATTAGTTCCCACAACATATTTTTTTGTTGTGCCTATTTTCACTAATAAAATTGGTTCTGGGAACTAAATTTTCATTGCAAATACCAGGTCTTTTCTAAGAGTGTACACAGAAAAAAAGGAATAGTTCATTTAACTATATTAATTTAGTTGACCCATAAGTATTTATTTAAATCAACTGTGGGAAGGTTAATATAAACAAAGATTAGTTTGACGGTACTAAACCAGATAGTTATTTTATTTTTTTTTAATTGGTTAAATAAACCCAGAAAACTTTAGTGAAACCAACCCGCTATATGGTTCAGTTTACTAAATATGTTGTTTGTAAAATAAGAGTTACTTCAACCTAAAGCACTCTGTTAAAACGATTAAAACAATTTGCCGTGCATTCCTGCTTGCATATGCAAGTATACAGTATGTACAGATGGCGGCAAAGGCGGTGTGGATCACGTGATGTTCTTAAATCTCGCCTCTGTTGACTTACATGAAGAGTATATATATATATATATATACTCTTATAAGCTCAGGTAGTCCTTTGCTTTGGTGTGACACTACAAGTGGTTCGATACTAAAGAGGCCTTAAATAGGTGGAAACAGCTGTCAATATTTTTTTTGTCAGTATTTTAAGTCAGTGGAACGCACTAAAAACATTCTCTCTAGCGAGTAAATTTTCTGGAATAATACCACTGGTAATATACTAGTAATGCGTTAAGGAACTGTTTCCTTTTTATTCCTTTTTTTCTTCGTAGTATGATTTAATTTGACCAAAAAAACATAATATATAACACTGAAAAGTAGTTTAATTTAGACCAGCTAAAATTTATTTTAATACTGTGTGAAAGTTAAATTTACACTATTTTAGTATTTGAATTTACACTGGACCAACGAACCATATTTAACATCATTTTGGTTTGTATCGATATAGACTATGGTGTTAATTTGATGTTAAAATGGTCAGGAAATTTTGAACAGTGTGTAATACGCTAAAGAAGTATCGCTAGTAGTGCCACCACTCGGTTGTTATCATCGTAACAAAAGTAGAACTTTTAATAATCAGCTGTCAAACGCTTAGGTTACAAACGAGTGTTTTTGAGAATAAAGCCGGATAATGTTAAAAAAATATCGAAAAAAGAACCGTCGATCGATTTTTTGTGTTGTGTTCGAGAGGAAATCCTGGGTTGAGTTTTTACCGGTTTTCCAATAAACAGTGTTAATCTGAATGAAGAAATAAATTGCATTCAGTCTCTGTAAATATAAATTGTACCTATTAGATAAAATAAATACACATGTTAGAAGTGATTAACGTGAAAAGTGTAAACTTTTCAATTTTGTAAAAATCGTCAAACAAATAAGTCGTCTAAATTTAAACAGCATTTAGCATTATTAAAAGCGTTGATTAAGAATTCTATAAAGTCCACTATAAGTTCCACTCAACGGTGAAATACCATTATATTATGTATTATATATAATATTATGTTGCCATGAATTCGTAGGTTTTTTTTGTTGTTTAAAATGCAGTTGTCGGCGTTTTTTAGAGAACTCAAATATAAAATGATTAATTTTAAGGCTATGTTATGCAAAAATTATTTTTTACTAATTTCTTAAAAATGTCCAAACTTAAATATAAATTATATTAGGTAAAGTTTATCATTAGTTAATTCTGCACCAACAAATGTACTTATCGAATTAGAACGATTTAGTTCTTGAATTTTATTTACAATTAAAAACAAAATAATTCGCCCTGATCCCTTTGATAAAATACACACCCTATCGTAACTATATTTAACATTTAAGCGTTGAGTTTCTTAATCAATGATATAAGGAATAATCAATCTAAATCGAGTACTAAAAAGTTTTTTAATTTTTTCCTTGCAACGTAAAACACAAATAACGTGCGCGATTTAGATGTGCCTTCCTCTCTTTTGTAAAAAAACTACCTATTTATTTAAAAATGATGTATAATCCGTGCTTTAAATTTATTGTTGACAATTCTTAAATTCACGCAATGCATTCGAAGTCCACCAGATGGCGCGCGCGTTGCGAAAACCCATATACTTACTTACTGTGGTAAGTATATGCGAAAACCCTATACTTCTTTAGCGTATTATCACCCATTGTAACACAATTGTCAGAGACGTTGAGATTGACATAAATTTATGTTTTCAAGAAAAAATATAGAAATTAATTTATATTTCGAAAACCACTAGTTAGGTATAGGGAAGTTTATACGAAAATATTCAGAATGCAATAACGGATCAAAAAATGCAATAATATATAGGGGGTCCCATTTAAAATATCACCGGTGATGCTACTTTTTTGTATACGTCGAATCGTTAAAAATATTTTAGATCGATAGATCAGGAGCAATAACTTAAGTAACCAAATTTTCAGATCATTCCTATGTACCGTTCTCCGTAAACGTCTAACGTATATGGTATACCATCGACCATCAATCACCCTGTATATCATTTTAATCATATACACTGTTAACATTTTTTGTAAAATTACAATTGTTTTGCAAAACAAAGGATGAGTAAAATTACAAATCAGTGTATACCAATACAAAATTATAATACAATTTGAGTAATCTTCCAAGACATGTTGGGAAATCTACTAAGATAAGTTGTAATTTTTCAATCTATATGTATAAATCCTACACGCATTGTAATTTTACTTAACAGTTTGGCAGTTTCTAATAAAAAGCATCTCAGATTTACAAACGTTGTTTGTAATTTGATTTGCTATAATGCTATGTATAATACATAGTATGTACCGATTGCGGCAATTGCAGGTTTTTTATTCGTAGTATAATCATTCGTAAATTACTAAATATTTTTAGTGTAATTTGTTGTACAAAATAACAATATTTGTATTTTAATATTACGAAACGAATTACAATACACCATTTTAAAATTACTAAACATATTTAGTATTATTTTTAGAAAAATTACAATTATACCTGTATAGTAATATAATTTTTAATAAATGCTTAGTGAATTTCAACAAACGTTTTGTAATTTTCCCAAATTGAGTTGTAATGAATTGTGTAGTAAAATTACAATAGAAAGTGTAGGATTAATTTTTTGGGATGCTTTTAAGTTCAGTTTAATTTTTTGCTTTATTTGCCAGTTTTACAACTTTTTAAGTATAATTTTTATAAAAGGGTTTTTAAAAAATGTATTTATTTTTAGGTGTGAGCCATTGCGACGAATTATTGTATATATTCAGATCCCCTGCCTTATTCCCTGATATAACGGACCCAACAGACAGCACCATGATTGACATAATGACGGAATTTTGGACGAATTTTGCCATAACCGGGTAAAAACAATAACTTAGCTTATTACGAAACAATATTTTTCTTATTTTTGTTTCGTACATTTTGATAATTATTATAATAAATGCATTAAAAAACCATGACAACAAATTGCAGATTATTTAATTAATACATATTACTACATATTTATTAATAAAACAACAAAACAAAATGCATTCCGATTTGTTTCTACCTAATTATAAATTAACGATGTTTTTTTGTGTATTCCAGGAATCCTATGGCGACCAAAATATTTGATTGGTATCCTCTAAATATAAACTCCATTAAGGAGATGAGAAATCAAAATTTTCAACATTTAAGTATAGAAGGAACAAATTATGAAAATACGATTTCTTTGCGGATGGAAAATGGTTTCCATAAAGACAGAATGAGGTTCTGGAGCAGGCAAAGTTTATTGGAAAATTTTGATGGATTAAATTAAATTTAAAAAATATATATTTTATTTTATTTGCCGTCAAATTAAGAACTGCCACAAGAAGATCGTAGAAATGTGATAAAATAACGTGTGAATTAATATGATTTTATGTAGTTTATTTTATTTATTATAAATAATATTAAAAATTACAAATTTACGAATTTCATGTTGCACCCTCCCACCTCCATCTACCCTTACTAAAATATTTATATGCTTTGCGACACATCATTTTACAGGGCATTCAATTTTTGATCCATAGAAGTTAAAAAAATAAAATACGAAATCACGAATTCGCGAGTTAGAGCCAAAAAAGGTAAGATTCCACAAGGAAAAAAATGTTTTCTAAATGTAAAAATACCTTTATTCTTAAAAAAATTCACTTGATAATAATTTGCTTGATATTATTATTGTTATTATTATTATTACATATATATGTAGGTCTGTGATATGTATGCATTCCAATAAGCTTATAGCTTGTCTAGGCATTAATATATATAGTATATAAATGTTTTAAATTACATAATCAAACTCGCTACACTTAACCCTTCTTATATTTTTATAATAATGTAACTTTATTTCCATTATTTTTTCTCATCTATTACATTTTCAAATACAATCACAGGCAAAATAATCGATCCACACAAATTTTCGATGAATTTCAATCGCAAATAACTTTTATATTTGATGTCGGATTTAAACGAATATTAAAGAATATTGTGGATAAATTAATGGAGAATCGCTCACATTTTAAAAAGTTACTAAAATATAGATGTACGTTTATAATATACATGTTTAAACAAAAAGAAGTTTTTTATCATAAGTTTAAGACACTCTGTAGATAAACCGTATATTGTTCTAAATTAAGTCTTAATTATGAAGTCACATCTATTCTTAACAGTTTTATTTTTGGTTCACCTCGATATATTTTTTTTGTGGAAAATATGGATTTTTTAAAAAAACATCGCAATTTCCAATATTTTTTCTGTGCTATGGTCCATCCATAGGCTATGGAGGATGACAGTGAGTTTTGTTGAATCATCCCATACTTGGACTGTCATATACGGCTTTCAAAAGCTATCAAATTGTTTTTTGCAACTTTTGAGGTGTCTTCTTACTTTTAAAAATGGATATGTCTCCGACTGATATTGCCAGACATATTGATTTAATTCAGGATGGACGGTCACAGTATTACGTGGCAAGTGTTTTAAACGTCACAAGAAGTAAAGTACAAAGGGAACATATACATTTTTAAAAGTAAGAAGACACCTCAAAATTAATACATTAATTAACAAAAAACAATTTGATAGCTTTTAAAAGCTGTATATGACTTCCAAGTTTAGGATGATTCAACAAAACTGTCACTGTCATCCTCCATAGGCTATGGAGGGACCATAGCAACCTTAGTTCTTCGTACAGAAAAAATATAGGAAAATGCAATTTTTTTTTAAAAATCCATATTTTCCACATAAATAAATATATCAAGGTGAACCAAAAACAAAACTGTTGAAAATAGACGTGGCTTGATAATTAAAACTTAATTTTGAACAATATACGGTTTTGCCACTCTACAGAGTGTCTTAAACTTATGGTAAAAAACATATTTTTGTTTAAACCTGTATATTATAAACGAACGTCTAATTTGTAGTAATTTTTAAAATGTGAGCGATTCTCCATTAATTTATCTACAATATTCTTTAATATTTGTTTAAATCCGAAATCAAATAAAAAAGTTATTTGCGATTAAAATTAATCGAAAATTTGAGGGGATCGATTATTTTTACTGTGAGTGTATTTACCACAGACCTGTGGTATTTACATCAAAATATCCTTTGAAATAAACTTTCTCTTTAAATTACCAAATCCTATATTTTAATACAACCAATTTTGACAATTGATAGATAGATTATTTGCTTAGGCTACGAATACATTAAATTTCTTTTAAATATTAAATTAAATTAAAAAGATTTTATGGAATTCTTTGTTTTATTTATATCACCTGTTTTGGCTCTAAGTTGAAATATTTTAGCGGATTTTAATTTTTTCAACTTTCATGGATCAGAAATTTAATTTCCTTTGAAATGATGTGTCGCAAGGTATAGGGCAGGGTGGTATAGGGTATCATTTAAATTTTTTTAGTAAGGGTAGCTGAAGATGAGAGGGTGCAACATAGCATTTGTTTCTCCCTCAATATCTAAATCGAGCTTTAAAAATACTATAAAAACCAAACATGAAATTTCATACAGTACTATGTGATGCAATGCATGATAGCAAAAACAAGTTAAAAATTATGCAAAAAACAAATAAATGTTATTATTTATTATTTTTGTATTATACAATAATTATAATTACTGTAAACACTACTTAATGCTTTATATTACGTATATTTACAAATATTAATTAAAAGATATTTGCGTTTTGGGATAAGAAAATTACATATTTTAAAACTAATAATACCAGTATACCAGATTAGTTATAGTTTTCAGTTAAAGAAGTCATTTCCAAAATTAATTTAGAATGCTTTACTTGCAACTAATTTTAAAGAACATTATTTATTTTGAATAAAAAAAGTTTCTCTTTACCGATAACTTATACGACATTTTTTACACATTGTAAATATCAAAACAATAAAATGTGGTTAAAATACCATCATAATTTAGCAATCAAAAAAAAGTTGGCGTTTTTGGCATTTAAAAAAAAATATTTTCAAGTTATACAATTTATTCCAGTTTTATTTATTTTAATTGTTTTCATAACTTTTCTTGATCATGTGTTCACATACAAACTTCTTTCCAAAAAAAACAGAAAAGGAAGGCTAGAGGAGTTTGTACTCCATTAAAATAAAAACTATAAAATTTTTAAGAATAAAGTTCAACAAAACATGTTATTTCACAAGAATAATACCATTATACGTATTGTGACAAAACAGTACATTTACTCCTAGGCCTTGCAAAAAGTTTATCTAATAGACATAAAAATCTATTTAATAGCAGTAATTAATGATAATAGTTATGTTGGAAATAACTACTAAGTAATAAACATGATGAAAATCATGGTGTGAATAAACTGAGCTTAAAAAAATCTTTCGCAACTATGCAATAGATAAATTTTATGTAAATAAATCTTAGGAAATTAGAAAATAAATATAATCGTTTTAAATTGTAACGGTATACAATTATGTCATAATATATTATAAATTTGTGATAAGTCGTTGTTTCAAAGTAGTTTACCTACAATGTACATTACTACTTAAAGGTTATACAACCACATAAACATTCAAATAGATTATGCACAGTGGCTGCCCGTCAGGGGAGGCAGGTGAGACAGTGCCTCATCATAGAAAATTAAAAAATTAAGTATAATTTAAATATTTTACTTTTTATAATATAATATGAATTTTTAATATTTGGATTACATGAATTGTGAAATAGTCAATAAAATTAATTGATTTTATACGTAGAATACCCAGCAACATTATTTGAATTTGAAACGACCTCAATTTAAACTAATATTTATAGCTAGATGATTGGCTCAGAAGCATGCCTGAACTAATTTAGACTCACGATTGGCGTTAGCCTTGTTGTCTCGTGTTGAATCCAAAGGACTTGCAAAGTATTAAAGAAGATTCTTTAATGAAATTTTTATTTTATTAGTGTCAAAAACCTAGGTTTGGTCTAGGGTCAAAAACTACAACTTGTATATTTTTAATAATATTTCTATAGTTACATAAACAAACCTCAAACACCCTATATACTGAATTCAATTATTTAATTTAGTTAATATCATAGATAACATCTCGTTCTATTACAATGCGATATCATAGTTGTCTCCTTCTCTCGTATTAACATACGCGAGGCAGGCACGCCTACATCCAAGGAAATAAGCAGGTGTTGTGGCAACACGATTGCGGAATTTTAGATAAATTATACTTCATACGTTTTTCAAAATTCAATAATAAATGGTATTATTTTTCTTATAATAAATCGATTTAATCGTGGTTTATTCTGTGGGCTTAGTTAATTGAACTTGGTGATTTATGTGAATTTAGTCATTATGGATATTACGGTGAGGAATTGTACCGATATTGTTGATGGTGTACTATTATTAATTTAATGATTAGGGCTTAAACCTAATGGTTATATTAATAATGCTGGACTTTACCTCTACACCTTCACGTGGTTCTTGCTGAACAATGAAATATTAATTAGACAAAAATGAGGTTTATTTAAAATAAACGTCATTTTTACAATAAAATATATTTCATTGACAAAGTAGAGGATTCCTTCCCCAGTCTAAGCTTTTTACTTAGTTTTAAGTATAGGTTGTGAACTGCGACGTCAGTTTTTTTAAGTTTAAAAAAATTTCTTCGCCTTTAAATGAGGGCGAAACCCTGCCTCTGCCTCACCAAAATGAAATGTAACGTGCCCCCACTGATTATGCACATTTATACCTTTTGGGCTGACAGTTTCAGATATATTAATTATTAAAAGTGGAAAATATATAGTTTTTAATAATGAGTTGATGTTTTATAGTTTTTATTGAAAGACTTTTGTAGGGGTTCTGATAAAATTAAAAAGTGAAAAAATGTTTATAAACTTTCTCAAAATATTTCATTTCAAGGTCAAACTTTTTCAGTTTATTATTGTTTTTTGTTAGTCTACAAACAGCAAGTGTCGATATATGGAAGTTTTTTATTTTATATTTCTTTGTTAGCCTATAATTTAAAACAAATATTCACTACTAGATGTAAAAACTTTTAGTTGAGCGTACAGTGAAGTATCTGTCTCTTAAGCGTTCTCGAAATATTTCGAAGTATGTAAATATTTAACGGAAACACAGAGAATTATAGTTTTAATTCTCATAGGATGTGGCAATAAAACTAGAACAAAACAAGAAGTTTGCAATTTATTTAATGCAAAGTATCCAGTTCGACCTATTACTCGTGATTCGGTTAGTAGAATTGAATGGAAATTAAGAGAGACCGGACATGTCAAAGATATTCCAAAACCTGGCTGTCCGAGTATTAGTGAAGACACTAAAATTGAGATTTTGTTACGTGTGGAAGAAGATCCTTACAGTGCTTCTAGCCTAGTCGCAGCCAAAAGTCAAGTCAGCTAACGCTCAGTATTACCATCTATACAAATTTAGACTAGTGCAGGAACTTAACGAAGATGGTCCGGATCGTAGACTAAAATTTTTTGAAACTATGATGAATTTATGTAAGAATAATCCACACTTTCCTTGTAAAATATTTTTTTAGGACAAAGCTACCTTCTGTTTGAATGGCAGAGAAAATCCTCATTGCAATTTGCATCTACTATACCCATGGGTATAGTAGAGGCAAATTCCCAATACCGGCAAAAAGTGAATGTCTGGGCAGGAATGGTGGAAAATCAGATCTTTGACGAAAATATGACAGGACAAACGTATTTGGAATTTTTGCAAAACTCTCTTCTTTCCACATTAGCAGAAATGTTTCCCAATGAGAATGGAGGTCCCGATCTACCAAATGATACCATTTGGTTTCAACCTCCGCGCATTGTGCATATTGCTAAATTCAGAATTTCATAATTTATTCGAATCTGAAAAAAAGAAGGGGTACAATTTAAAAAAAATACCAAATTAAAAAGCAAAATCGACATGTTAAAGGAATTTTTTGGGGAAAAAGGCACATTTTTAATGAATTTGTTCCATACTTGAACTTGCAGACCTTTAACATTAAAAATTTACGAAAAGAATCATATTTAGTGTTTACATCTTATAACTGATTAATACATTTAACCTAATAACTATAAGTAATTAAATTATTTACTGTTTTGTTAATTATTATAAATATAAATAATATAAATTATAACGATCACATGTTTAAACAAAGCAAACTAAATAAAATAAATAAATTTAACATCTAGTGACCTTTTTGTGCACATTTATGCCTTGACATATATGTAACTCTATATTTGTGTTACTATGTCGCACAAATATGTTATTATTTTTATGTGTAATAAATGCATCGAAAATTCAACATAAAAAGATTACAATAAAATGGAATATCTATAAATAAAAAGTCGGCATACAGGACTATTATTATTACATTGCATCTTACACGGTTATGTATTACTCAGTGTCAGAGATCAAAAGTGTGTAAAAGATTATAAACATTTGTGAAAATATTTTTTTTCAAGTTGTTGCAAATTTTCGACTTTAAACTAAATCTAGGACACTCGCAGCAAAATTCATCGCAAAATTAAATTAAATAAAAAAAAAAATTTTTTTAGATATGCACTCTCAGGTCAATAGTTTAGCAATTAGTCTGCAAATATAAAATGTGTTATCATATTTTTTGAGTTGTTGAATAAGTAGAGAAGTGAACAAGATTTATCCTCAGTCTAGCAGCGAATTGTTTTTGAATCGCAATGATCTCCTGTAATGTGATGTTGGTGATTTTGGCGACTTGTAACGTTGGTTACGCTGGAGTTTTGCAGGAAGACCCCATCGTGGAAACAGAGTATGGAAACGTCAGAGGAAGTATCAAAGAATCGAGAAACGGAAGGAACTTCTTTTCATTTACTGGGATACCATATGCGAAACCACCTATAGGAGAGCTAAGATTTAAGGTGAGGTTGTGGATTTAGAAATTGTAAATTTTAGTATGTTAAACAAGACATTAAATACTACTTTTTGACGTATAGAAATTTTGATTTTTTTAAGGCGTCGTACTGTCAAAAGGTTGTATTTTTTCAATGGACATTGGGGTGACTCGGGGTTAAAATTGGGGAGAAACCTGTTTTTTTGCGTTTTTTTTCAGGTCTTGGCTTTTCTGGGAAAAATTGATTTTTTTTGGAAAATATACACATTTGAAAAAAGAAGCAATTAACAACTTAACACTTCTTTAATTAAAAAAATATCCTTTATTACAGAAAAAAAACTAAATATTGAATTAAATTAAATTGATTTAAGAAAATAAACGTGATCGTTAAATATACTGTCGGTTGGGTCTTTTTTGTCAAAATGAGTCCATTTAAAATATCCAATTACAAAATTATGAATGATTTAAAAGTTAAATTACAAAATTATAATTTTATAAATCGAAGTGTTAAATAAATCTAAAGCTTGTTTGTTAATACAGCGCCAAATATGTTTTTTTGCGGCCCGGTAGAATAATCTTACTTAATTAAAATAAAAATAATAATTATTATAATCATAATATTATGATTATTATAAGCGTCGGAAATTCACTTTTTTATCGTGTATGGATATCATCTGAAAAAATTTGGAAATTTTTAATTTTTCTGAAAATTTCCCAATTTATTCGGTTTTATTTTTTAGGAAATTTTTAAACCCATTACTAAAAAGGTCTGATCATAACCAACAGGGTTAGTAAGAAATAAGCAACACAAGATTTACATATGGGGCAATCCATGCCAAATCACCGAGGTTTTGACCCGACCCCCTTCGATTTCGCTGAAACTTTTTTATCATTTTCTATCCTACCAAAGACATTTTTCTGAATTTTTTCAGATTTTTTTACCCAACCCAAAAAAAGTTGCAATAACTTTTTCACAAATTGACCTTTCGGCACGTTTTTTTTTTTGAAATTTTTGTTTTTAAATGTAGTTTTCAGAAAAAAAAAGTTCAAAAAAAAAGTTCATTCCTTAAGACACAACATTGTACGGTTAAGAATTCAAGAAAACAATCGCTAAACCGAGGAAAATAATTAAAATATTTAGATTTTTAACGATGTAAAAACAATACTTTAATAAAAAATTTACGGTTGTTTTTATCCAATTTTATTCAACTTCTGAGCTTTTAAAAACAATAAAAAAAACCTCAACGCAAAGTCATAAAAAATAAGCCAAATTGAGAAATTTCTATATTTTCAATCGAAAAAAAAACAATAGAATGGAAAGTCGGCACAAAATGGGAATAGTGGGGTTAAATACTGTCTTAGTTGAAGTTTTTTTTGAGACAAAAAAATTGAGAATCGAAGGTTTCAGAATTCGAAAAAATGACGGTTTTATTGAAAAAACTGAAATATTTCATATATCGTGACTTCCGAAAAATTGTTTGTATTTTTATTTAAAAACAAAAATTTCAAAAAAAAAAACGTGCCGAAAGGTCAATTTGTGAAAAAGTTATTGCAATTTTAAAATACAAGAGCGGTTTTTTTCAAAAATTCGTAACTTTTTTTGGGTTGGGTAAAAAAATCTGAAAAAATTCAGAAAAATTTCTTTGGTAGGATAGAAAATGATAAAAAAGTTTCAGCGAAATCGAAGGGGGTCGGGTCAAAACCTTGGTGATTTGGCATGGATTGCCCCATATAAACCTGTTATTTTTATAATTACTTAGTTTAGAACTTTTTAATTTTGAAAATAACACCGTTTGGTAAAAGTTTCATTTTTTTGTTCCATCTTGCGCAATTACAAAAATAAGTAGTAACACTTGAACAAATTCGTATTTTTGAAAATGTACCTTTTAAAAGTAGAACGCCATTGTTCTTTTAATCCATAACTGTCAAAAAATGTTTCCCAAGATAATACACTTCAATTAAAATTTTTTTAAATTAAATTGTTAAGTGTTTTAAATTTTGTTGATTCTAATTTCGGTCATACGTCAAAAATTATTATTTACTAAATACTATTTAGTGTCTTGTTAACAAATTTCTAAATCCAGCGATTCAAAAAATAAAAGAAGAAATTTTACGCGCCTTTTATGTTAATAAATGTTCGTAAAAAATTAAAATATGAAAATAAAATTCATATTTACACCTTAAAGTCCCAGTTTGACATTAGAATATAAATAATTGAGGTTATATGCTGATGACCCGCAGTCGCGTGCGGAAAGGAAGTACTTTCCGCGCCATTTTCTACAAGCGTTTGTAAAGTTGCTACTTTCCACACGCGTAACCGGTTAGGTAAATAACTATTTTCTACAAGCGTGCAGAAAGTACCTACTTTCGTATCTGGCCTTTTACCATCGGCATTAAATTTTTTAAAAAGCAAGCAATTGCAGTTTTATTATAAATATACAAAATAAATATTAGATTACCTACCTAGTTATTATATAAGTTATAAAAATATGTTTTCTCAATGTTAAAATAAAATGTGGTATGCTATTTTCGATACACCCCGTATAGGTTAAACGTCAGCACAAGAAAAGTGATAAATCTAATTCTTCAAAAGAAAGATTTTAATTTTTTATGAAATTCTACAATAAAAGCTAAACAAATTGTCTATTTAGTTTACGCCAAAATGTTGTTATTTAATAATTATTGTTTGTACAATTATTTTGGACAGTACGATTTTCCAGAAATATAAATATTATTATTATTCCTAATACAATATAATTATCCTATAAGATTATTGAATAATCTGTTAAATAATAATAAATGGTTTATAGATTTATTAAGTAAACATGTGATCGGGTAAATATATATATAGTTTAAAATAATATTGACAAGCCCAAATTAATATAAATATTTACAAGACTTTAAAAAAATGCATTTGAGAAATTATCTAATAACCCATGCCTTTTATTCGGTAAATATTTCAAAGAAAAAGTGTAAATGTGATGTTTTTTATAGTTATTTACATGTCAAGCTTTGTAAATGAATCTTTACGGGCGAGCTGGAAGTTTGTGGGGTGAGCGACGCAGGAGCGAACTCCATATTTCAATGAGCCTAGTAAAGATTAATTGCAAAGCGTGACACGTACAAACTTTTATTTTTACCTTAAGATAACGATTTTCAAATTTAAAATTTCAATTAATGTGTCAAATGTGTCATTTCATTCATAAATTGCTTTTCTTCAAGCCTGTTAAACTTTACAGGTCTTTTTTACAAGCCCGTAAAATATTACAGGTCTGTTCCCATAATGTATCGTTTACTTGGATACAAAAACAACAAAATTAACCTATAAAATGTCATTTACTAAGAAGGGAGAAATAAAATTATTTACTTGTACTGTGATGTAATAATATATAATTAAAATGTGATGTAAATTATACTTTAACTGTGATGTCATTTTTTACACTTATTCTTAATATATTTAATCTTTTTACTATTTAATTAGTATTTTATTTCCTTAGTTTTATTGACGAAGCTGTACTTAATTTAAATTCTATGCTAATAAAGATTATTTATTTACAAGTTAAAGTTTAATCCCGGCACCTTCGCCATTTTTGACAACATAGTCATTTTTCAAGGTGCAATTTACCAAAACAAATGTAAAAATGTACTTGTTTACGTGATAAATCTAATATATTTGACAATGCTTGTTCTAGTTTAATAGTCATAGCAAAAACCAAAATATTTTAATTCCATACGGGTCATTTGAACCAAAACTGGACGAGTCAAATTTTTGACGAAATAAAACCGATTCCTAACACCAATTTTGGTTACTCTATTATTCTACAGATGTCGCTCTATACGAATATTTAAATTAATTGGTAATAAATTATTTTTTTTAATTACGTTTGTCGTAGAAGTATACATAGTATGCAATTCGTTTATTTACTTTTCTAGACAGTCACATTGTGCGATTTTTTACTATTTAGCGGTACAATTAACATAAAGGGGTTATGTGTATTTTTAATGAAGCAATTTTTAGACTCCTCAAAAACTGGAACGATGGTCTGAAATTTTGGATGCTCAGCAGGATGCTCCTCACTGTATACAAAAAAATTATTTATTCGCAAATCCAAAGATAGAGGGGCAAGAAGATTGTCTTTATTTAAATGTTTTTACACCTCAAGTAAGTAAATATCCAAAATTGTATTATTGTAATTTAAATAAAATACTTTTAGATTAGAACAAAAAGAAATGTCGAAAACACCGGATTAATGCCAGTTATGGTTTTTATACATTGGGGTGGATATGTAGTCGGTTACAGTAGTACTGGGTACTTGGGTCCAGAGTATTTTATGGACAAAAATATAATACTTGTCACTTTTAATTACAGATTAGGAGTCATGGGTAAATATATCATTATACTTTTTGGCCCAATCTATCTCTAAAAAAAATTTATTTGTAATTATACAGTATAATTTATACTATACAATTCATTTCAACTCAGTTTAAGAAAATTAAAAATTATATTTTACAATTTTACTGAACTGAAGAAAATTCGTTTCGCAATATTACTGTACAAATATTGTTATTTTGTACAACAAATTACACTAAAAATATTTAGTAAATTACGAATGATGGTATTGTAATTATACTCCGAAAAAAAAACCTGCAATTTTCTTAGTTTCTTCAAGAAACTTTCTTGAGCCATTCCTGTAAAGATTTAAAAAAATTGAACCTTTACCCTCGTCAGAGTTTTTGTTTTAAGTGCGTTCCACAAACTTCAAATACCGACAGACAGCTAGATAGATAGACCTATTTTGGGTCTTATCAATGTCGGGCAATTTATAACACACCAAAAACGAAAGACACCTGAGCTTATATACTGTCCACCTAAGTCAACCGAGGCGAGATGTAAGAACATCACGTGACACGGCATCGGTACATACTATGCATTTTACATAACATTATAGCAAATCAAATTACAAACAACGTTTGTAAATCTAAGATGATTTTTATTAAAAACTGTCAAACTGTTTAATAAAATTACAATGCGTGTCGGATTTATACATTTAGATTGTAAAATTACAATTTATCTTAGTAGATTTCCCAACATGTCTTGAAAGATTACTCAAATTGTATTATAATTTTGTATTGGTAAGTTTACTCATCCTTTGTTTTGCAAAACAATTGTAATTTTACAAAAAATTTTAACAGTTTACATGATTAAAATGATGCATAGTAAAAATGCAAACAGAAGTTGTATAAAATAAATAATGATTTTTGTACTTCCAAACACTTATTGTAATTCAAATAGCAAATTTTGGTTAGTAACTTTATTGATTATCTTAGTAAAATTAAATTCCGAATATGTATAGAAATTTTGCAGTATCTGACAAAAACAAAAACATTGTAATATTGAAATACAATAAAACATTTTGTAATTTTACTATGCAACTGCTTAGTAAAAATGTATTAATTTTACAAACGTTTTTAACAGCGTAGAGTTCTTTTTATATTTAAGGCTAAACTCCAGTGAATTTTATAACAAAACTGTTTTTATTTAGGCGGTTTGTGACGAAGTAAACAATAAATATAAGGACCAGGTTTGGTCACGCTTAAAAAATTATTCACAGACATTTTATCACATTCTTTATTAGTACTGAGGAGCTACTTATTTGTTATTTCATTTTAGTTTTGTAATTTTGTTTCATAAAAAACCTATGAAATATATACAAGTTTTCAATATTGAAATATGATGGGGACATGGGGTTATAGAGTGTGATGCTAACTTTCAACCTTAATTAAGACATTCAAAATATTTTTATATTTAATTGAAAAATTTTCTATTAATTTTTTTTATTAAATTTTATGAATTTAGCTCAATTTATTATTTTTTTAATAAGAAATGTTAGGGACAATGGACAAATAGTATAATAAACTAGACAGGCAGTAAAAAGGCTGCTGACCAGTGGTATCATTTTAAGGAAGAAATATTTTTTTATTATCAGGCACTTTCTAAAACAAAAAGCCTGAAACAAGTTGATTAAAACAATTTGCTACTATCAAAAATAATTATTTAAAGTCGTAGGTCATTTTAATAGCCTTATTAACATTTATTTAATAAAAACAAATGGTTGACCTTCTGCATGAAATATTTTCAACGCGTTTTAATAAAAAGTAAACAAATATTTATTTTTAGGTTTCCTTAGCACCAATGACGATGAAGCGCCGGGTAATTACGGACTAAAAGATCAAGTGGCCGTTTTAAAATGGGTGAAGGAAAATATCAAATATTTCGGGGGAAATCCCGATCAAGTCACCATTTTTGGGCAAAGCGCTGGAGGTGCTAGTGTCCACTACCACATGCTCAGTCCTTTGACAAAAAGTAATAAAAAAATATATACATATACAGGGTGTCCCAGAACTCGCGCTTAATTTAAAAATAAAAAAATCTAGGTAATAGTGCAATCAAATGAGAGCAAAAAGCGGCAGCCAATACCGAGAGCTCTCGCCTAGGTTAAACTTAGGAATTTAAAAAAATGCTAGAATTCTTAAGACGACAGAACATTGTTGTCTTAAAACTTTTAAAAATCTTTCGTCCGACTGTGTTTACTAACCTTTTAAAAAGGGATGTCATACTTTAGGACGTCAATGTTTTAATGTAAAAATTAAAAAACCTAGTTCTGTACCCCAGAGCCAAAATCTTTAGCAACCACTACAGAATTCCACTCTAGCGGAATTATCTTCCGGCTGCAGGTGCTGAACTCGCGTAAAATGAACGTCCTTCATAACCCTCTGAACCGTGAACGGGAAATTCGCGTGTAACTTCCCTTATGCTCTTCCTACTATTTAAGGAGCACCTTCAATTTCGTTACAACGCAGAACAACTTTACAGTCCAGGGGACGATTGGGAAAGCGCTGAGAAAAAACTCGTACATATATGTATACTCCCCATAAATAATCATCATCTTGGAATAATCAGAGGAGGAGAACATAACTTAAAATGATAAATAATGACAGGAACAAAAATTGACAGCAGTCGCACAATGAAGTGGATTCCATTCGACCAAATATTTTACCTATTATAATATCAACAATGCATCCTAAGTATCCTTAAAGAATTGCCTATAGCCATGTATTGGGATGGACTATCGTTTTGTATTCTTATCTCGCTTATCTCCGTTAGATAATTTTAATTTTCAAGTATGTGTTTCGCATAACTTTTGGCACGTTTCCTTTTTATCTGTGCCGTGAGTTCTGGGACACCCTGTATATAATATGTAGGTTATATTTTTAATAAATTTGTCATTTTTAACATCTGCTATTTGTCATTTTTGACGTCTGTCATCTGTAATTTTTGACGTGTGTCATCTGTCATTTGATTACAATCGAGATTTGATGTTATATATCTCAGTTTAAAGCTAATTTCGTCTTATTCTTTGAAAATAATACTATATAAATATTATTTTAATATTTAAAACCCAATTTATCCGTTTCAGATTTGTTTCATAAGGGTATAAGTCAAAGTGGAAGTGCCCTATCCTTATGGTGTAAACCGTTAGGTGCAGAACAATTAATAGTAACGAAAATGCAGGCCCAAATAGTGAATTGTAACTCAAATTCAACCACTAGAGAAATGGTGGATTGCCTTAGAAAAATTGACGCGGCGGACTTGGTAGAAAGCATGAAAACATTTAAAGTACTAAAAGTAATCAAAACTATAAACATAAGTTTAATTTAGAGGTTTTTTTAGTTTTTCTCTATAGACCCAATAAATGTGTATATGCCTTCGATAGAAAAGTTGACGAAAATGAACCCTGATCCATTTATAACCAAAACCCCACAGGAATATATAAGAAATAGAGAGTATAAAAATATACCGTGGGTTTTGGGTTTGGTAAACAATGAAGGGCTGATAAGAGCTGAAGGTAAACACAATTTTTATTAAAAAAAAAACCCTTTAAAACATATATTTTAGCACTTCTAAGACAATCTTCAACCAGAAAAAGTCTAAACGCAAATTTCGACGGACTTATGCCCTTTTTAATGGCCCTACAATTGAGTGTACCCAAAAAGGAATTATTAATAACCTGGGAGAAAATCAAAGGCTTCTATTTTCGTGGAAAAAGCCACATTGATATTTCAAATCCTGAAAGTGTTAAATCCTTGATAGATGTAAGTTTAATATACAATATTTTTTACTTGTTTTTTACGCCCATTATCGTACATATTTCCATGACACTAAGTAACCTTGTGTATTTACATTGGCAAATTGTGGCTTCATGGCGCATTAATCACGGGCTGAAGTTAGCAACAGGTTTTTAGTCAGGGGCTGAAGTTGGTTTTAAGCTAGTTGACAGTTGTCAAATGTCATACAATCGTTAAAATAAAGTGCCTTTCTTGTAAAATAATACTAAATGTGTGTATTTTTTTCGACTAGCGTGGGCAAATTAACACTTATCCGCACCCATTTACGTGCGCAAAATTGCACTTTTCCGCACGCATTTGCATTTATAATTAAAAAAAGCAGAACGATTTATTAAAGTATTATAAACCAAATAAAAAAAATTTAACATTGATTTTTTATTATCGTATTAAAAAAAAGTGTCATTTACTCGGGCGTGTATATACAATAATAGGGTGCTTCATTTTAGAACGACTTTTTTTTTCAAAGTCCCACCTGAAAATCTTGTAACCGGTCAGAAAACAAAAATTTTGAGCTATTACAATGCTCTTAATCTTTATTTTAAGCCGTTGCTATTCAATTTTTAAATATTTCCCTTTAAAAACCATTAAATTCTTTTCTCCTTCCGCTCGTACAGTAAGAATATTTTTTTTGAATTTCGGTTCTAAAATCTTTATACAGGATGAAATTATCTTAAAAAATGTCTATTTAAGCAAGTCTGTATGTTGAATATGTTCTTCACAAATTGCCGTTCTACTCGAAAATCTTCTAAAATAGCAGTAAATCGTATTAGGAGACTAAACTTTTGATTGTAGATAAAAAACGTAAATGACAATTTTGTAGGGAATTTTGTGCCCTACAATTTTCTGTATAACTTAAAGTTTAGCTTGTACAGCCACTCCAAGTGTCAAATTCTTTCTGACGACTGTAATAACTATACTATTAGAGTTACGTGAAAGAGTGGCTGTACAAGCTAAACTATAAGTGATACAGAAAAATATTTCTTAACAAATTTGTAGGGCGAAAAATTCCCTACAATTTTTTTTTTTATCTACAATCAATAGTTTATCAAATACGATTTACTGCTATTTTAGATTTTTGAGTAGATCGACAATTTGCAGACTTGCTTAAATGGACATTTTTGAAGATAATTTCATCCTGTATAAAGATTTTAAAACCGAAATTCGAAAAAAATATTCTTACTGTACGAGCGGAAGAAGAAAAGAATAAAACATTGTCTTTTAATGGTTTTTAAAGGGAAATATTTAAAAATTGAATAGCAATTGCGTTAACGGCTTAAAATAAAGATTAAGAGCATTGTAAAAGCTCAACATTTTTGTTTTCTGACCGGTTACAAAATTTTCAGGTGGGACTTTGAAAAAAAATGTTGCTTTAAAATGAAGCACCCTAATATATATATCGAAAAGTTATAAAACTAAACACAATTTCACCACGTCTAGTCTAAAACACACTAAAACGTTTGTAGTAACCCGTTTGTCATTACCAACTGACGTGTTGGCCTTCTAGTAAATGAAAACAAAGGACGATAGTACTATCAATCGTCTGCAGTGGGAAATTTAAATAAAACACCGTTTTGCCCCGGTACCCCGTTCTACCCCGGTCTCCCCTACTTAGTTTCCATGTCAATAAGTGGAAAGTGAAACGTCATAATATATTATAGAAATGAGGCAGCAAATACTGTAAATGAGAATTTATTACCAGCGAAATCTTGTCAAAAATATGAGAAACAATTTAAACATTTTGAAAACTGGTGCAACAACAAAGGGACAAAAAGTTTCTGGCCTATTTTGCGGATTTAAGAAATTTACTTGATGACCCCACACAAGCGGGCATAGTTTTCGTAGATCCTCCGCTACCATATTAGCCGATTCTGGGGAAGGAATTTCCAATGTTAACCGACTGGAAATCAACGGCTATCGCCGAGAGCTACACAGAAGAATCCCTGACCAAAACAAAAATTATCAAATAAAATATTGGACATAAAAAACGGCTCTTCTGAGCTAAGCCAAACTTTATTAAATAGTACAAGTCACCCTTTAAATGAATTAACCTGTTAACAATTAATTTAGCTCTGGGTTAAGTGGTAGAGTAGGGGATAATTTTTTTTATCTATCTGAACTTCGCCCAGATATGTAAATTTTATAGTTTCAGAAATATAAAAAATAAATAATATTAATAATTGTTCCTTTGTAATAAACATTACAAAATATGCGCAAAGTAATTTTTCCGCACTTACTGCTTGCCTGAACTCCGCTTCGAGTCGTTCGTGCAATTGCAGTAGCGTGCGGAAAAATGTAAGTTTGCGCACTTGTTAGGAAAATAACTATATCTTAACATAATTATATTTTGAAGTTATTTTAGTATTTTAAAGTATCAATAACTGTTAATTTAATTAAAATAATAACGTGCAATGTTAATGGTGAAAGTTACGTCAAAAATGTTTATTGGGATGGTTACTTTATTTTCGTATAGATGTCGCTTTATACAATATTTAATTTATTATTTATCATTTTTTAGATAATATTAAGTATTTGCCATAGAAAAAGTGTAGTATGCAACTCGTTTATAAACTTTTCTAGGCACTCATTTAATTAAGCATTTAGAATTTTTATTTTTTAGTTATACACTGATAGATCCTTTGCATATTCCATGTACCAAAGTGCTTTGTACCATAAATACCATGGGCATGATAAAATTTGGTTCTACAATTTTAACTACAAAGGAGAAAATTCTTATGGAGATGCTTTTGCAGCTACAAATGAAACCTTAAATTACTCATGGGGTAAAAAGTGTTTTTAAACTTCGTTAACAAACTTTCTATAATAGTTTTAAATTTAAGGAGTTTCCCATTGTGACGAGTTAATCTATTTATTTAAATCTCCCGCATTATTTTCAAATGAGCTAAATACAAACGACAAACAATGCAGTGAAGATTTAATAACCATGTGGACCAACTTTGCTTCAAATGGGTAAGACTTTAATAAAATGATTTTATTAATAATATTTTATTGAAATCTCCTGTTTATCGTTGTAGGACTCCCAACGAAAACTGGTCCGAAATGAACAACTTCGAAAACAATACGAGCAAAAACATAAAATATTTGAGCATTGAAGGTTTGCATGAAGGTTTGGGACCTGAGTACTCCATGACTTCCGGTTTGCATAAATCGAGATTCAAGTTCTGGGAGCACATGGCTTTAGTCGAAAATTTGAAAGAATTAAATGAGACAATAAGATTTTAATTTCTTAGATAAAACGTGTCTGTGATATCCTTTAGGTAGTGAGATAATAAATAGTAAGTTCGGATAAAAGCTATGTAACCAAAGCCCGCCATATTTAATTTATATTATGTATACTATGTATCAATAACAAAATAAATAACAATTATTTATTTATTTACTATGTAACCAAAGCCCAACATATTTATTTTTATATTAGGTATAATATATATGTATCACTATAGCGAAATACATCAATACAGTTTTTTTCAAGTTTATGTTTACTAGTTTATGTTACTCCATGTCTTATATACTATATCTATGCAAAAAATCACTTCGATCCGTTGCTCCCCTTTTGGAATTTTTAGAAATTTGGCAACACCGCAAACAAAAAAAAAATTAAAAACAAAGAAAAGTATCAAAAAAATAAAAAAGCAAAACAAATTATATAAATTTGGAAACACCTCTATATGGTGGAAGATGTATACAGACAAAAAAGTAGCCTATGTTACTCTCCATCCCATATACAATCTCCATGCAAAAAATCGATCCGTTGCTGCCTGAAACGGAAACAAACAAACACACTTTTGCAAATATATCAGGATGGTTAATTTTTTTATGTTTGAAATGTCTATGGTGTATTTGTTTTTAAAGGAGCGCCAGTAACGTAAAGCCTCAACATCAAAGTCCCAGTTTATCTAATCTATGATTTTAATAAAATAATTGAGGTTATGCATAAACTCAATTATGTTTTTATGAATGTCAGTTTAAAACTAATTTCGGCTTATTTTCTGAAAATAATCCAACATACATAGGTATTTTTTGTGTATTAAGGTCTTTATTTGGAACACAAAAACCATATTTTGGTATTATTTTCAGAAAATAAGACGAAATTAGCGTTAAACTGACAGATAGATAACCTTAATGTCAATGTGAGACATTCTGTATAAATTATATAATATTAAAAAACAAAAACGTATTAAAAAAGATATAAATGCATACCAAATTTAGATAATGTATCTTTAATATTTCAAAATAAATAAATAAAAAACCTAAAAAAATTATAACTTTAACAGTGTTAATTTAACACCCTGTAGGTAGCAAAATTGGACCTCAGTTTATTTCACAAACTACCTACCTATATTTCAGTAAACTATCAGCTGGTGAAATTCTGATGATATAAACTGGCCAACACTGTATATTTTTCAACTTAAGTCTGGTAAATTTTATAGTTACTTATATATTGTTTTTTGTTCGTGAATAATGATAATTATAATAAATTCCCTGCCTAACAACGGGAATAATGAAATCATTATTCACTTTGTTAGGCATTAGTGGTTGGCCGATTTCAATATTTACTGTGGTTTGAACCATTAGGGTTTTAAATTGGGAGAAGGCGACTATAATAACATTTAAAATTTGACATTTATGTAGGGAAGGGTAAATAAAAATAAAAAGTATTTTTTATCTAAAAAATCGTTAATATGTGTTTTATTTTAAATGAAAATGAACATGCAAAATACAAAATGTTGGTTACATTGACATTTAGTATACAAATTTCAATAAATAGTAAAAAAATACTGAAATATAAGTTCTTAATTAAAATTCCTAAACTATAAAAAAAATTAAATAAAATCGTGAATAGAGCGATAAAAGGGCAGTATTAGAAGACCCAATACATAGGTGTGTACTTAGATGACATGATCCAAGATGTGTACTTATATTTCTATCATTGGAACTTAAGGTTCAAATTCATCAAAAGTTTCCAGTTTAGTTTCTTGCTCGGGTGTGTCATTTTGAGCGATGCACAGGGTATGGCACATACCCATTGAAAGACCTAGGATTTTCATGTTTGCCAACTTGTTAACCTAAAAAAATATTCTTGCGGATTAATACTGGACTCTTCCAAACTAAACTGCGCACCACTCAATGTGTCGCGACCAAAAAGTTTGTTCTTTTTTAAAACGATATAACTTTTTTGTTTCCTGAACGATTTTATTTTGGTTTGTGATGTCTGCTAGCCTCATCCTCTGGCAATTTATGCTATAGATATGATGCTCACGGTTGTTCAAGAAAATTTTCTACAGGGTGATATGTTAAACGGTGAAAAATTTCAATAACTTTATCCAAGCCCCGTTTGTAGAAAAATAATTTTTTTTTCGTTTTTACTTTGAAGTAATGAAGTATTATGTGTTACCTTGAAAAGTTTTTCAAATTTTTCGAATTGGAATCTAAGCAACGAAAATATGATTTTTTTCCAAAAGAGTACATTTAAGGCTTTTTGGTAGGCAATATACTTAGTCTTTTTAAGAACAAGAAAATAAGATTTGCGAAAACTAAACCTGAATCGATATTTACGTTCGTGACGTGTTTTCTTTATAATTTTGACCTTCTGATTGTGATTCAGTTGTCAAATTTAAGTTTCAGATAAAATCAATATCATCAAGAATCAAAATTCGAAAACAATTCCCTGTTGTTATTGCCTAAAAAAAGCTTTAAAAGCTTTAAAAAAATCATATTTTCGTTGCTAAGATTCCAATTCGAAAAATTTGAAAAACGTTTTAAGGTAACACATAAAACTTCATTATTTTAAAGTAAAAACGAAAAAAAAATTATTTTTTTACAAACGGGGCTTGGATAAAGTTATTGAAATTTTTCACCGTTTAACATATCACCCTGTAGGAAATTTACTTGAACAACCGTGAGCATCATATCTATAGCATAAATTGCCAGAGGATGAGGCTAGCAGACATCACAAACCTAAATAAAATCGTTCAGGAAATAAAAAAGTTATATCGTTTTAAAAAAGAACAAACTTTTTGGTCGCGACACATTGAGTGGTGCGCAGTTTAGTTGAAAAACAAACAACTCAACCACGATACACAAAAACCGGTATGCTGGTTATGAAACGAAAACTCGTCAGATTCGAATGTTACAAACAGATGGAATGACCCTATAACATGCGCATCAGCATACCGGTTTTTGTGTATCGTGAACAGTGTTGCAAAAATGTTAATGTAAAAAATAATGCAATCGTCATTTTTTTTAAGGTAATGTAGTTTGAATACATTAATCGTTAAAAAAATTGTAATGAGAAATATTTTCATTACACACTAAAAAATTAATGAGTTATGTTAAACAATACATTACTCATTAAAAAATAGAAAATGATTAGCAAAAGACATTACTTATTGCATCAGTGAAAATGATCAGGGTTGATGGGGTAATTTTTTATATGGGGCATTTTACACCTCAAGTCTGATTTTTCCTGAAAAACTTGACGACTTTATTTGTTTGCAGGGAACCTTGAGGGAAATGCCAGATAATTTTGAAGCTCGTGTGGTATTCGGGGGATTATTTTTCCGTCCCAAATGTCGGCCAATAGAATTGCACCATGAGACGAAATGTACAGTTAACAAATAAGAATTTCATAATGAATAAAACAACATTTAATTAAGATTTAATTTGTTTTTTATATATAGCAACTACCAGAGAAAATTTTCAAAAAATTATCGCTGTAATTCGCTGTAGGTTCCCTCAACAACAATGCCTCAACAATGTCCCAACAATACAGAGAACTGTCAAAAAAAATAATCATTACATATTAAAAATGGTTACTATACAGGGCGAGTTTTAAGTTGACGCGTTCCTTTTAACAGCGTGTAGAAATCAGATAAACAAATAAATATTTTAAGTAACTTTTTTATCAAAACTCAAAAATAAGAGAGTTATAGGCCTTCCAAGTTTAATTAAATTTTGAGCCAGTCCTGGCTATTGTTAACAAAAAACATAACCATAAAAATAAAAATAACAAAATAAACAATGCAAAATGTCATCTATGACAACAAACATAAGCATTTAAATCAAAATGACATTTAGCAATGAAAAATGTCAGTTTTTTTGTGCCTCAATTATTGTTAAAAATGGTTCATAATTATAGCAATAATGAATTAGTGGAAATGTTACTAATTTATGGAGTGTCGTCCAAATGCAAATGCTGCAACTTAAGTAAATAATGACATTTTTTATTGCAAAATGTCAATTTGATTTAAATGGTTATGTTTGTTGTCAAATATGACATTTTGCATTGTTTATTTTAATATATTTATGGTTTATATTTTTCGGTAACAATAGCCAGGACCGGCTTAAAATTTAATTAAACTTTGATGGGCTTTAACTTTTTTATTTTTGAGTTTTGATAAAAAAGTTACTTAAAATATTTATTTGTCTAGCTGATTTCCACACACTGTTAAAAGGAACGCGTCAACTTAAAACTCACCCTGTAAACTTACGTGTTCAAGGGTTTTTCGAGAAAATATCTTTAAAGCTCTTTTATTAATTAATAAAAAAACGTTCGAAAAAATCTTTTATAGGGAAATTTTTTTGAAGTAAATAAAAAATATGCTGTGAAAGACTGTATTTTTGTAAGTATACCCTGAAAATGTTGTACAAATCAAACGAACAGTAACGAAAATACAGCGCTTCAAATTCGTCAAAAATAATCATAAAAGGGTCATTTTTGACGTCTTTGAAGCGCTGTATTTTCGTTACTGTTCGTTTGATTTGTACAAAAGTTATTTTTTAAACGTTTTTTTAATATTAAAATATTTTTTCGAAAAACCATCGAAAACGTAAACTGAGATATAAGTTAAAGTATTTTTATACAAAATTTCATAAAGATTGGTAAAGGCGTTTCAGAGTTAGTAGTAATGCATTATTGCAACTCTGATCGTGAATTCAACGAGTTTTTTCTTACCTCCTTCGGGGTGGTGCTGCTCTTTTGCATCTCCCCGATGCCCAGCTCTCCGTAGGTGGGAGACCCGCCCCAAGCGATGACCGAGTCGTCGGCGGACAGAATGATCGAAGTGAACCCGGCGGCGATGTGCTGCACGTTCCAGCCGGCCAGATCCTGGATGGGTTTCGGGTACATGTTGGCTTCGCCGCTGCGTTTCGTTTGCCCGAACAAGAACAACCCGTTGTGCTCGGTCAGGGCGAGACTGTACGTGGAGCCGCAGTGCACCGATCGCACGCCTCGCGACTGACTGTCGAAGTATTTTATCAGTCTGGGAACCTGAAGACACAATCGATGTTTTTAGCTTTTTGTGCAATATTTTCATGTTATAAACAATATTTACCTGGAAATATGAGTAAAGTGTACATTTTACCCAAAAATTGAATTTTTTTAAAGTATCAAATGTACATGAATACACAATTACACAAATATAAAGCATAGGGTATAAAAAAATCGTTACAAAAATTATTGAAAAGGCGTTTAAGTAAAGATGTACAAAATATCTGTCGATTTAAGAAAAAAACACAACTCGTTTCTTTGCTTTTTTGTAAATTTAGAAAAAAGTATTCAATCACTCTTCGACGTTTTTTTTTAATTTTCGGAAATAAAGGAAAGTTGATTGTGTTTTTTATTTTAGGTGGCGTTTTTTTCTTTTCTTGTTTTATTCAATTGAAAAAAAGTATTTTTTTTCTTAGCTTATTTCTCATAATCACACTCTGGGTATTTTAGACAGAACCTCAGTTTGAAAAAAAAATATTAAATCAAATTGGAAGTCGAAATCAAAAAAATGTCAATGTTTTTTGAAAAAATAAGAAAAATATTTTTTTATATATTTTTTTAAATTACACTGCGCGTCAACATTAACTCTAAATGCCTTTACCAATCTTTATAACATTTTGGATAAAAATACTTATGTATACATAAGTTTACGTGTTCAAGGGTTTTTCTAGAAAATATCCTTAAAGCCATTTTATTAAATAATAAAAAAACGCTAGAAAAAAAAATATGCTGTGAAAGACCTTTTTTTGTTAGTATAGCATAAAAATTTTGTACAAATCAAACAAAAATTAACAAAAATACAGCGTTTTAAAGTCGTCAAAAATGACCACTTTTCAGCAAAATAATCAAAAAGGGGTAATTTTTACCGACTTTGAAGCGCTGTATCTTCGTTACTGTTCGTTTGATTTGTACAAAATTTTCAGGGTATACTAACAAAAATACGGTCTTCTTTAACAGCAACAGTTATTTTTCGAACGGCTCTAAAAATATTTTATCGAAAAAACACGAAGTATTTTTATACAAAATTTTTTGAAGATTGGGAAAGGCGTTTTAGGAATTTTTTTACTTATTATGAGTTAATTTTGACGCGCAGTGTACTTTTAAAAGCAAAAACATATGCTATTTGGTTTATTTTTGGAGAAACAGGCTTTTAAAAAATTTTAAATGGTTAATTCCATGTTTTTTTAACACATCGATTTTTTTTTGTTTACTTACCTAAAAACATAGATTATTAAATAATTTTACTTGTTGTATAAAATATAAAGCTATAAAGCTATTGTATAATAAAATTATTTTTCGTTTTCTTTGTTTTTAAACATAAATATATATATAATAATAATAATAGTTTAAAAAAATATAACAAAATCATTCAGAACTACCATTTTTCCTTACTTTTTCGAAAAACCGTAAAAAAAAATTGACGATTACTTTAAATGTTATTTTATTTTTTAATTGGAAAAAAAAGAAAACAAAAACGCCACTGTAAAAATTTCAGAGAATTTGCAGAAACTGTATCTAATTAAAAAAATAAAAATGACCATCAAGAAATTTTTCTTTTTTTTTTAATTAAAAAAAGTTCAAGATAATTTTTTTATATATTTTTCTGAAGTGTATTTAAAGACAAAACTTTTGAAGAAGAAAAACGTCCCAGTAAGTGAATTTTTAAAAAAGTTATAAATATATATAAAAATAAAATCAATTTTTTAAAAATTCATAACTTTATTTAGCTGGGAAAAAAATTAAGGTTATGAATTTTTCAAAAAAATTACTTTATTTTTCAATATCTATAACTGTTTTAAAAATTCACTTATTGGGACGTTCTTCTTTAAAAAATTTTACCCTAGGTTAAAAAAACAATAAAAATTGTTGTATCCAAATTGAAAGGGGTCTGGGTAAAAAGTGGTAAATTGATTTGGAATAAATTCAAAAATTTTGGCAAAATTTTTTTTAATGATTTTTTTATTTTTATTGTAAACGAATCGCAATTTAGAAAGTTTGGACAAAAAGAAAATTGTTTAACATAGTTAGATTTTTTTCAAATTTTCTGCGATTTAATTTATTTTTGATGCCAAATTGCAAATGAATAATTTATTAAGTTAAATTACAAAATTATAATTGTATAAATTGATGTGTTAAATAAAACTATAGTTATGTTAATAATAGCACCAAATATGTATTTTTTGCAACCCGATAGAATATTCTTTCTGAATTAAAATAAAAGGAATAATTATTACAATCATAATTTTATATGATTATAATCAGCGTCGGAAATTCCCTCGATATCAGTGTACGGATATTACACGTAAAAATTTTTAAATTAAAAAAAAAATTATGTTGTATTTTTTTCGTATTATTTAAATAAAATGAAAAAAAAATGCAAAGATGAATTTTTCTGAAAATTTCCCAATTTTTCCGTTTTTTCCGCCGGCTTCATTTTTCCGGAAATTTTGAAACCCTAGTGAGGACATAATCCATAAGCTGATTGTTTCCAACAAGAACACTATGTTATAATATAGTGTTCTTGGTTTCTACTTTAGAATTAAATGTAATGATGTAACTGATGAAAATTATATTATAATATATTATAATATTGCAATATATTAAATAAAAACAAAACAAGAATTTAATTAAATTGTCCAAAAGAAGTATTACTTCAGCTGTGTTTTCTAGGCGCACATTTTTAAGTTATGTTATGAAATTTTCTGAAAAAAAAATGCACTCACCATTTCGTCCTTTTGTTCGGCATGTCCGAGCCTTCCGAAGCCCCCGAAGCCCCACGAGAAGGCCCTCTTCTTGGTGTCGATCGCCACGGTGTGGTTCTGGCCGCAGTTGAAGTCGACGATCTCGGTCACGTCCACCGGAGACACGTGGCCGTCCTTGCTCTTCTCGATGTAGAGCACCACCCGCTTGGGGCTCGTTTCGTGGTTGAAGCACAGCTTGGTGCTGGTCTTGAAGTACTTGCCGTCGGTGTTGTGACCCAGCTGGCCGTACTCGGGCAGGCCGAACGAGTGCAGGCCTCCCTTGATGTCGAGGATCACGGAGAATTCCGCCCCGCAACCCACCTAAAGAATTTTTTTTGAATAAATCATAAAAATTATAAAACAATCCATATTGGCGCACCATAAAAGAGCGTTTCAGTTTTGTGTTGTCGGCTGAAGAGACAGGTCGCTTGATGAAAAAGTATTGAAAAATTCCTTCATTGAGGGGACAATATAAAACCCAGCACAAAAATACGCTGGTCAGTACCAAATATGCAAATCTACAATAGATTGATTCACGAATGATTTCCACGACGGATGGTTAAAATAATTATAACCATTCGCCATTTGCCATGGTGCATGGTTGGAATGAACTATAAGAATAAGGTTAAACAATAAAAAATGTATAAATGAAAAATAAACTGGTACAAAATATTTGACGGCTAGGAACAATTATATGGATGATTGCAAAAGTTTAAGAATAATGTAATAGGTAATTTTGGACAATGTTAAATTTGTTGAAAAGAAATGAAGAAAGAAAATAGACATATAAATAAATAAACAAAAATATATCGAAAAAACAAGTGTGAAAAAAAATTGAAGTGATACAGTAAAAATAGTGAAAGAAATTAGACATAAAATAATATAAATAGTACACTACAAGGGCAGAAAGTGTGAGATTCCTGCCCCTCGGGCATCATGGCGCGCAGTTCAGGCTCTCACACTTTCTGCCCGTGTAGTGTATACTATTTTTCTTATTACCTCGGCCGAAAATACAACCCAACCCAACCCGGCCGAAAATACGGGAAAAAATTAAATGTGTTATATCGAAACATATTGATGCCTGCCCCGACATTTGCGGCACGAGCGAAGCCTTCGTAGCCCTTGTAGTGTAATATACTCGAAAATACGTTGTTTTTCGTCCCCGATTCCAATGCATCAAACGTAAATTTGACCAATGCATCAAACGTAAACTTTCTGCCGTGGAATCGGTGACGAAACAACGTATTTTCGGCCGAGGTAGTAAGAAAAATGAATTATGAGTCATAGTTCATTTTAATATTATTTTCCAAACATTTTACCACTATATCTGTAAACCTAATAGCAAAAATCTAGAAAACTATTCACATTACGTAATTTTACTCAGAATTTTATGTAGAATTTAAAAATGTAAAAATATATGAAATAACAAAGTTGATATCACTTCCGGTCAAACCGGAAGTGGAATTTTGTTAAAAATATTTAAAAAAAGACTTAAATGAATTATAACCGCTTTTAAATTTCAAATCAATATATTTTTCTGTTACCCCAAAACTTTCACCCTGTATATCAAGTGGTGTTTTTTAGGTTGTGATACAACTATAGATTCTAAAGCAATGTATAATCGTCAAACTAGAAGATCAATATATATTTAATATAAGATAAATACAAATCTGTTGAATTATTTTAAAAAATCAAGAATTAAAACCGGAAATTATTTTTTTTTTATTTTAAAAAAATTAAAATTATTATTTTCTTTAAGTATAATTTTTGTATTGTGTAAAAACATACAATATTTGAAGAAAAAAAATGATTTATAACAAAATAGAGAATAGGTTAAAATAATAAAAATGGCTGTATAAAAAATTTAAATGACGTGATTTCGTGAAACGGTGGGACACGGGTACGTTTTTTTAACCTTTATTTTTAAAATCTGTTAAAATTTTTCATGAGAGGAAAATCGTGTTGAACTGTGTAATAATATAAAATAAATTATTCAAGGGATGAGTTGTACTTGGATTGACCCCCTTGATCATAATAATTTTTTTTTAAACATAATGAGCTGGCCAAATAGCTTTTAATTAAGCTAAAGGTCATTACCCCTGAGCGCAGTACTCTTTGTTCAGATTGAAGAAGAAGAAGAAGAAATGAGCGTTACCTTTATGATGGGAGGCCCTCTGTAGTTGATCCTGGTGGGCGTGACGATCTGCGGCTGCAAGTTACCGACGCCGCACTGGCCCGAGCGGTTGTCGCCGCAAGCGTACACGGTGCCGGTGTCGGTGAGGAAGAGCGTGTGGTTGCGACCGCAGGCGGCGCTGATCACGTTCATGTTCTCGAGCGCCGGCACCACGGTCGGAATGTCCTTCGTGTTGGTGTTGTCCAAGCCCAGCTGGCCGAACTGGTTGCGACCGAACGTCATCGCTTTGCCGTCCTCTCCGACGAGAACGCTGTGCGCCGATACGCATCCGCTTACGGCCAAACGCACCTTATAGAAGATTTGTTAGGCTTTTTTTTTGACAAATATTGATAAAAGCTTAAATTAAACTTTGTATTAATTAAATAATTAATAATCAATTAAGGAGCTTCTTACAAAAACAGCCATAGTCCAAATTGTTATTTACATACATTATCTATATTTTAAATTAATATTTTGACGTAGTATTCGTTAATTTAGCAAGATAAAGTATATGACATATAAAATAGATATTATTTAAGATATCGTATATTGTTTTAAATTTAAAAAAAATTAATTGAAAAAAACTTTCATAATTAAAAAAGCGTTTGTTATTTATGGACAAGTGTTGCCATCTATACCTAGTGTATTTAAGACATTAGAGAAAAGTTGTGTGATTACAAGCATAGATTAATAACCTTACAAGCCTATTAACATGAAATTTATAAATTGGAAAAAAGCCATAACTAATCTCTTTCAAAACAAAAAATCGTTATAACTTCAGTTATTCTTGGGAATTTTTAAACAAAGTAAATTTTACCTGTAAACATACACATTAATCTACATTTTTGTCCAATTTCTTCTCTACTATGCTTCACTTTTTTTTGTTTAATTACTTAAAAAACTTTGAAAAAATTGAAAACATGGTAGATAAAAAAAAATTATTATTAAATATATACCATATGGTATATGGTCATATATTGGCACCGTTTTCTAAAAAAGTTCAAAAAGTTTTTTTCTTCTATTTATCAAATTTATTATAATTCCTGGACATAATCCTAGAAATTCCGCGTTGGAAAAACTTTCACACCATTTCTAAAAAACTTATGAAAATGGCTTAAAATGGCCAACTTTTGAAAAAAAGGGGGAGGTTGTTCTAAAAATAAAAATATACAGTGCGTAAGTTTGACAGTCAATTCAACACAAAAATGTTTTTTAAAAAGCCTAAATTGTTATAGTCATAAGTAGACTGACAACTATAAATTTAACATGCTGTCTTCTTGCATGGCAATAATATAAACTGAAACATTAATAATGCTCTGACTGGAAAAATGCGCCTGAAAAAAATAAATTCTCCGACTTATCCCACTTTTCCAGAAATTGACCACCATTTTCTTTTCCAAAAATTATCTCAAAATATTGTTTTTATAAATAAAATTCTTACTTAGAGCAGGGAAGGTTATAATGGCTGCGGGGGTGGTTTTACTTTTTTTTTACTTTCTTTACTACCTATTTACTAATGGGAATGATAATGAAATGTAAAAGGAACATAAAAGGAAAAGGGAAAATCACAGACACTTGAATTTTATTTATATGTATAGATGACCCCTTATTTTTCCTTAAAACTAAGGAAGCACATCCCCAGGTATTCAGCTAGTGTTACATACTTTGCACAATATTCACATTTGTTTCTTTAATAAAAAACACCATGTAGCTTGTTGGGATTAATAATAATAAGCTTGTGTAATAAGTTGTGAGAATATTTCCCATTGTTTACCAAAGTTTAAACCAAAAAAAAATCAATTTACTAAAATAACATAAGACTGATCCTTTGTTTAACTCAATAACTCAATAGACACCTGCGCCAATTAGTTGAAGAACTAAAGGCGTGAAATGATCAATTTAATGTTTAAAATCCTAATAAATACCTTTTGTTCAGTAAACCTGTGAGGTATATAGAGATTGGGGCGAACTTTCTGGATGGCCTTGGGGTCCCGTTTGCCGACAGAGTCCCAGTTGACGCTGCCGAAGATAAGTAATTGACCTGCGGGCTTGATGAGCGACTTGAGCAGCTCCTGCGGAAGCGGTGTCGGGTCGTCAAGCGCGTCCCCATGGCCGGCGATCAGAACTTCGTCGGGCTGTGTTGCGTTCTCGGCGTCACTTCTGTCGCTCAAATCGGAATCAATGTCGCTCTCTTCCTTCCTCTTGCCACGTTTTCCGCCGGCTTTCTTGGCGGGTGCACGCTTACGTTTCGTCGACATGCTGCGAAAACAACAAAATGCCCATCCACTTTCCCTTCGTTTTCGTTCTCCCCGATTAATTACTTACATTATTTTTTATCGAGATTAAAAACCACTTATTTAACTATAAAAATATCACAAATATATTACTCTATACAAGTTTAAAACAAACACGTAAACTACAAAGGTGTTTTTATCACGAACCGGCTTGTACCCGGTCGGCAAAATGGCTAATCACATAGATATGAAACGGAATAAAACCCAAACAAACTATTTGTATTCACGGCGTTTTTTATTAACGGTGCACATCTGCACGAATTATTACCAACATAAAAGTTATAATTTAACATGCCATCTCTGTTTAACTTATTGTGATAGAAAGAGAGGGCGCGACAACTGTTGTCACAATTGTTCTCGCTGTATCGAATTTCCATCGTTTAAAAAGCGCCAAGTTACCATCAAATTCAAACATAAGTAACTAAAACAACACAGAAACCTTCTTTTTTGATGCCTAAATTTTTTCACTACAGCCGAATAATTATTAAGGTTCTTCAATAAAATTTGTTAACAAGCCTTTTTATACCAACCTTTCTCTTACTGCCAACAGGTAGTTTTCTTGACCTCGGATTTGAAAATAAAATTCGAACAACTAGCACAAGAAGACTAAAAACAGAAGAGTATTTGCATAGAGTATAGTATTTGCTAGGTGGGGGACAAAAGTATAATATATTATATCATATAATATACAGGGTGAACCATAATTAAAGTGCAATACTTTAACAGCAGATTCTACGCACAAAAATAAGAAAAAAAATCCTATAAACAAGGGTCGAGAAATGCTTAGGGAGCTAAAGCCCCTGAAGATGGTTTTTATTTAATATCTACAAAGATAGGGGGGTTCGAATCCCACCAGGGGTATGGCTGTTTATTTGTGTTGTCCTATTGTGTAATAGTCCTTCGGAGGGGACTTTAAGCCCGCGGTCCGTTCCTACCCCTAACCCGCACAAGCCATTCAGTTGGCTTATGGGACTTCTTAAGAAGTAAGGGTGGAACTAAAAGAGCACTTTTGTATATAAACTTTTGTAGAAACGTAACATTTTGGGAATTAATCAAACTTTTAAGGGCCAATAAGATGTAATAATAAAAATTTCAAATTTTCCACGAGGGGTGGGTCAGATAGATAGGGAGTAGGGGTAAAACCACCCCAACTTTATCGTAAGTGTCTTGTTCCAGGATTTGAAGTCAGATTATTTTATTTTGGAGGTTTACACACAAAAAAGGCCCTATTTTTAAACTTCGATAATATTTACCATTTTCGCTTAAAAGCGATTTGAAAATTACCTTACATGGCATAAAAATTCATAATGAAATCACAACTAGATAAAGAGATTCAGCTTGGGGCATGGAACACGGCTGCCATGTTTGGGAAAAATTATTTAAGGCAGGTCATTTTTCTATCTTGAACAGTTTTGGAAATATTAAATAAAAACCATCTTCAGGGGCTCCTCTTTCGGGGGCTTTAGCTCCCTTAGGAAGCATTTCTCGACCTATGTTTATAGGGATTTTTTTCCTATTTTTGTATGTAGAATCTGCATCTGTATTGCAGGGTAATTATGGGACACCCTATATATACAGGATAGTCGACTTACTATATAGTATATACTTGACCACCCAAAAGTTTCACCATTTTAAAACAAATAATTTAGCCTCAAATTGACAGATAGATAGCCTCAATTATTGAGGTTATCTATCTGTCAGTTGAACGCTAATTTTGCCTTTTTTTAATAATACAATACAATATATTACCATGTACCTATGTGTTGTGTTCTAAATTAAGAACTTTAAATTCCGTACAGTACTTGATTCTTGCTTGAAAGCCCAAACTCATATTGCGAAGGAGTCTCACGTTTTTAGATAGTTTGGAACATGCTTTGTTCCACACCCAAAAGTACCTACCACCTTAACATTTAAATACAAACAATAGAGGTTATCTATCTGTCAGTGTAAAGCTTATTTTATCTTATTTTCTGAAAATATTACAATATAATTTATCATGTATTTTTTGTGTGCACTTAATTTTGAACAGAAAATAAATATATTTTCAGAAAGACAAGTTAGCGAGAGATGAAGAACCTTAATTATTTGTATTCAGATGTCAAGGTGGGACTTTTGGGTCTGAAGCTACATACCACAAAAATTAGCCACTAGTGGTAAAAAAGTTGGGTACCTTTGAGATGGTTACTACTGGCCCAGTAGTACTGGGTACGTACTTACGTTTATTGGAGTGCCCCATAGCAAGATACTCCTCTCTCTAGTCTTCTTGACTTTGGTCCTGGAGGATGTAACTAAATAAAAATTTTCATATTAAAAACATTTTATTCGGTCATGGATCATTATTTTATCATCCCTGATCAGTTTAATCTTAAAAATGTAAAGGAAATATATACAACAAAAAATATTAACTACAGCGAATATGTATGCATATTCATTATGGTAATAACAACTTAATTTATTGTTAACATTGAAAATAAACAAGCAATTTTCATCCGAAAGTTTTATCAATTTAGTAGAACATAAAAATAACACCTTAATATTTAAGACAAATTGTTTATAGAAAATTTAAATTGTAAAAATATATTTATTTTTAAAAATTTTTTGAGTAGTTTTTAAATTTATACACAAAAAAGCCCTCTAAACATTCTTAATTTGTAATATATTTTTGAAAAAATTAATTGTTTGTTATTTAAAATTAAGAATGTTTAAAGCACAATGCATAAAAAAAATAAATTCTGGTATCTTTCTCATTAATAGATTTTTTTCTGTTATTTAACTTCTAAAATTTAAGTTCCTGGAATAAACTTTAGAATGTAAACAATATAAATAAAGAACATAACAATGAAAAAAATTGCCAAACAAAACTGTTGACCCAAATATATTTATTATTATTAGTCCTTGAAAACAATTACAGACATTAATAACGCAGATAATAATAATAATAATAATAATCCAAGATATTTTCAGCCACTGTAGAAATTTAAGTATAACGTAAACATATAATCTCCCAAAAGATTGACCTATTTGAGGGGTTACATGCGGTTAGAATTTTCAAAAATCAATTTCCATGGAAGTTAAAATTTTTCCCAAAAAAGACAATTTTTCCAAGACCTGGAAAAAAGACAATTTTTCCGTTTTTTTCCGACACTTTAATTAAAACCCTAGTTGTAAGTAACAAAACCAAAACTTTTCAGAAGAAAGACAAAAACTAATTTCTTGAATTTTAAATATTCAGGATATTAGTTTTTTGGCTCTTCTGAAAAAATTACCATGTTTTAAAAATATGTACTATATAAAAAACGTCGGAATTACTTAAAAGTACATGTTCTTTAAGGAAATGTAACCAAAAAGCTCCCCATGTCATTAAACGTTAAGAAGTGACAAGTTTATTAATAGCACGTATTTTAAGAAAAAATCCAGAGAAAAACCTTTTATCCTTAAGATCCTCGGTAAGAAGTACTAAAAGTACAACAGAAAACCTTTTAAATATATACATATAGTGTAAGAACTAGGGTTTTAAAATTTCCGGAATAATTAAGGCGGCGATAAAAAAAACGTTTTTTTCCGTAAAAAACGGAAAAATTGGGAAATTTTTGGAAAAAATGACTTGCATTTTTTCATTTTATTCAAAATGCAAGTCAATTTTTCTTAAAATTTCCAAATTTTTACGGATAATATCCGTACATATTAAGAACAAAGTGATTTTCGACGATGATTATAATCATAATATTATGATTATAATAAATATTCGTTTTATTTTAATTCTATATTCTACCGGGCCGCAAAAAAGAACATTTGGTGCTGTATACAAACTTTCGTTTTAATTGACACTTCGATTTATAAAATTATAATGTTGTAATTTAACTTCATAAATCATTCATTATTTTCTAATTGGATATTTTCAATGGACTCCTTATGCAAAAAAGTTTAGGTTTATTTTCTTAAATCAATTTAATTTAATGCAATGTTTAGTTTTATATTTTTTTCTGTAATAAAGGATATTTTTTTAAATTAAAATATAGTTAATTTGTTGATTGCTACTTTTTTCAAATTGTATATTTTCCAACAAAAAAAATCAATTTTCCCCAAAAAAGACAATTTTTCCCCATTTTTCCGGTTTTTTTTCTGACCCTTTAAAACCCTAGTAAGAAAAACAATTATTACAGATAAATTAACGGAAAGAAATAAAAAAAATTGATCCAAACTTGATTTTTTATAATTTTTTTATTTTTTATCTGTTTTTCATGATTTTTTTACCAGATTCATTTGTGATTGTTGCTTATTATTTTAATAATAAACTTTTTTTGTTTAGCCGATATTATAACTCAAAATTTTTCCCTGATTCCATTTCCTTAAATTTTCCTGACTTTTATGAAGATATTATAAATTCTGATGTTTGCGCTGACTTTCAAAATTCCCTGACTTTACTAGACTTAAAACAACTTTCAGGTTTTCAATTATTTCCAGGCGAGAGGGAACCCTGTAAAATTAAAAAAATATTTAATAAATTTTAAAACGGCGTACAGTTGTATTCAATAAAAAAGCGTACAAGAATTAGAATGAGAGAAAACTGTCAAAATAATATTATTGCTTAAAACCGGCTTATCACTGACATAAGTCATTAAAATAATTACTATAGGTTATAAAGAGCATTGACGTCGTAGGATAATTAAATAATATTACAAAAATTATTAATTTTTAATACATTTTTTATTTCTATTATACCACGGTACGAATTGACCATTCTTCTTCGATTCTTGATACTATTTGAGCCTTTTTAACTGACGAGGCATTTTTATTTTCTACTGTCAGTTATAGTGACTTAAGTCAGTGGAAAGCCGGTTTTACGCAATAATGTTGACAGTTTTCTCTCATTCTAATTCTTGTACGCTTTTTTAATGAATACAACTGTACCATAGTTAACCCAGTTGTTATTTCAACAATAAAATTTTGATTAATGGTGTCTAGGGTTTTAAATTTTTTTGAAAAATTGAGCCGGCGAAACAAAACCGTTTTTTTTTTCGAAAAAAAACGAAAAATTGGGAATTTTCAGAAAAATTGACTTTTGCATTTTTTAAATTTTATTCAAAGTGTAATACAAAAGTCAATTTTTATGAAAATTTCCAAATTTTAAGGATAATTCAGTAAAAATATTCTACCGGGCCGCAAAAAAAAACATTTTTGGTGCTGTATTAACATTCAAACTTTCGTTTTATTGGACACTCCGATTTATAAAATTATAATTTTGTAATTTAACTTTATAAATCATTCATTATTTTGTAATTGGATATTTTCAATGGACTTCTTTTTGCAAAAAAGTTTACGTTAATTTTCTTAAATCAATTTAATTTAAAGGTTATTTTTAAAAAATTAAAATAATGTTAAGTTGTTGATTGCTTTCTTTTTTTCAAATGTGTATATTTTCCAAAAATCAATTTTTCCCAAAAAAGACAATTTTTCCAATGCCTGAAAAAAACAGTTTTTTCCCAATTTTTCCGGTTTTTGTCCGATCCTTTAAAACCCTAGTACGAACTTAAAGACATTTTTCTAAACCTCTGACTGCATGTAACCCTTTAAATCACTCAATAAACAAGTTTGTTCAGTTAGGGGACTGTTAAACATTATTTTTTATGTTTAACAGTAAAATTGTCCCTTAGGTGGTTTAATCTCAGTTAGTATCCTTCGTTATGTGATATCTGGAAGTGAAAGTTAATAATTAACTGTGTTAACCCACTTGTTATTTCAACAATAAATTTTTTATTAATAAAATGCAAATAAAAAGTGGAGCATAGATGGTGTCAAGTGGTGCCTATAAAAAAGGAGAAATCAATATATATTTATATATTTTGAAATAATTTAATTTTATCTTTATATGAATTATCATCTAGTCCCACACTTCACTCGATACAAGATAAAGAAGTCCAAGTTCAAGCAACGTAGGTGTAAACTTTCCTGTCTTCGGGCGTGCGCGCCAGGTACTCCCTCTCGATGAGGCCCTCTATCCTCTTCTTGATGATGACGGGCGAGGGCAGAAAGCGGCTCTTCAGCTGCTCCGTCACCTCGGTGACGAGGATGTTGTGCGCCATGCGCTTGCGCGACTTCATGATCCGCACGATGGCCGCCTCGATCTCGTGCTTCCGGTCCTCGTCGACTTTATTGCGCGTCTCGCGCCTCTCCGGCTCGCTCTCGCCCTTCGCCGCCACCGTCTGGATCTTCACGCGGTGCAGCTTCGACGTGAACGAGTCGTTGACGTAGAACTCGTGCGCGCCCTCGATCTCCTTCGTCTTGGGGTTCTTGATGAGGATGCGCTGCGTGGCCTTGCCCATCGCGAGGGATTGCAGCGCGCGGATAAGGTCGCGCTCCGGGATGTCCGATTCGTTGAGGATCTCCTCGTAGGTGAGCTTGTCGTGGTTGTTGAACAGCATCAGCACCACCATCTGGTAGGTGGACACTTGGATGATGTGCTTGCGCGGACCGGACCGCGTCGACAGCAGGCTGGTCGAGGACGAGCACGCGCCGTCCTTGTCGCTGTCGTCCTTCTTCGGACCGTAGAATACTGCGTTGAGATCGGCATTGCCGAGTTGCGGCTGCAGCGTCAGCTGACGCCCGCTGTGCTTGGCCAAGTAAAATCTGAAGGAAAAACATTTTATTTGCAAAAATATACTTGGAAACCATAATATAAAATCTATATATGTTTGCAGATGACACAGCATTGGTATACCAAAAAAGGTGCCCTTGAACTAAAGTAGTCAACTCTCTTGATAAAAAATAATTAGCGGCAAGAAACAATGCTTGAAGAAAAAAGTTCTTAGTGGAAGAAGTATAGTTCTCTTGAAAACAAATGAAAAATCTCTAGAACAGTGGCGTAACTACAATGGTGCCATTGGTGCGGTGGCACCAGGGCCCGCGCCATTGGGGGCCCGGCTCGGTTAAAGCGTAAAAAAAACTTGTGGTAATTTTAAAACCCATGCAAAACCATTCATTGAAGCTCATTCTCCCCCCCTCTATATCTAACGTGCGCGAACGGGAACACACTCATAGATGCCATTTTCATACACGTATACGAGGCGCGGTAAAAAATGTTGGTGTTTCTGCACATTTTTACAGCACAAGACATTTTATATCACAGAAATTCTTACATATAAAAACAACCAAATTACAAGTATACAAAAATTCAACTAAACCAAAGAAGAAATCAGGTGGGGGTTTTTAGACCTTTAAACCAAAGATAATATTATCTTTATCTAAACAATTTGGTTATGTACTTATAAACAGTGTTGTCATGAAAGCTCTCGACCAAAAATTACAAAATACCCGATTTTACTCACAAAAGTAAAAAATAGTTATATTTATAAATTTTCTAGCGCATTGGCCCTATTTTGACAAATGAATTTAATTTTGTATTAATCAAGAAGAATAACAGAATAAAATAATAATAATTATGTATACTCAGTAAATATACAATATCATCTAATACAAAATTTAAGGTTACTATTTTGATCGAAATTTTCAAAATACCCGCGTAATATTTTATGCTCAAGCATGGCGAAAATACCCGATTTTCGGGTAAAATACCTGCAAACGGCAACACTGCTTATAAAACTAATAAAGGTATAGACACACATTTCCGCACCGTGCCCGTCACGAGTGTCGGCCGAGTGTTTGTCTCGTTACGGCTCGGTCCCATTGAAACCACACTTGTCCGTGTTTACGCCGCGCCGTGTCTTTCAGAGACAAAGGTCTCTGGTGTCTTTCCTTTCAAAATGTTTAAATTCAAAATTTAAATTGGTCGCAATTATTTTCCAAACCCTATCCTTGTAATCGCAATTGCGATATTTTTCGTGGGTTTGATCGTACCAAACTGGATATTTTCTTATTTCTTCTATTAAAATTTCCATTTTTAAGGTTATAAAACGAGACGAGACCGCACCGTGCCCGTCAAAATATAAACAAAACTAGTCTGGCACGGCGCGGACTGTCGGTGTGCTATCGGTGCGGCGTAGAATCGGAAAGATGGGGACTAACGCAATGGCAAGGATGTCAGAATCTGTCATAAAAATCCGCTAGATTTTGTTTAAATGTACCTTTATTACAAAAATGACACAATTAACAATAATGAGTAACGTCAAAATGACAATTTGCATTGTATCAATGTGTCATTTTTGTGATTAAGGTGGATTCAAACAAAATCTAGGGGATTTTTTTGACAGATTCTGGCATTGGTTTACATGGTTTTATTCTTTTCCCGTGTGTTGTCCGACTATCGGCCGACTCACGTGTCGGACACGGTGCGGAAATGTGTGTCTATACCTTTACAAGCACATACTTCCACACGTGGAAGTATAACAAGCGACAGTGACGTCATCTGTTTATTTTTTATTAAGCTGGCCAATCAGAGATAGAGAAGTCTATATTATCAACATCTAGTTCAAAATGTCACCCATGAGCCTGTCGCCATAAAATTGGATGCGCAATGGTCCAAGCTCCTTCTCCCCCCTCTATATCTCTGGCAAAAACGAACTATTGAGTATCGACACTACTTTCTTCAAAATTGTTTGTCGTTTTATAAATAAACGTATACGTTTGTCGTTTTATACGGTTGTATATAAAACTTTCCAAAAATATACTTTCGACACCGAAAATTGGTTTTTAGGTCCTCTAGAAAGTGCTCACCAAATTTGAACTCTTAGGAGGAAGATCCTCCTCATCACAGTTTTCAATTTTTTTTTAGTCCCTTATAAAAAATACCATATTTCATTATTAATCAATCGTTCAATCAAATCTTCTAGATCCTCTAGAAAGTGCTCACCAAATTTGAACTCTTAATATTAATAGGAAGATCCTCCTCATCACAGTTTTCCATTTTTTTAGTACCTTATAAAAAATACCATATTTCATTATTAATCAATCGTTTAATCAAATCTTTATACATATTTTTGTAGGAAATTGAATGCCCTACAAAAAGGAGCGATTACTCTAAGCATTAAAAAAAAATTCAAGATAAAAGTTTGAAGAATTAATTACAAAAAAAATAGTATATATAATTTTATTTTCAAATTTACAAAAAAAAAAATAGTATATATAATTTTATTTTCAAATTTACCGTCTTGATGCTCGAAGAGGTCGGATGCGTCAAGATCCTAAGTGGCGTATACGATACAAACGTAAAATACAAAAAACGAAACAAAGTATCCGGAAATGTCGGTGATCGTTAATGAATAATAAATAAATACATAAATAAACAAACAAGTGCAAGAAGTGCAAAAATTGTGAGATAACGCCGTAAAAGTGTGCAAGTGAATAAGTGCCTAATTGAGGCTGGGCAGCAACGATAAGTCAACCGGCGCACCTGGATCGGAGCGTTCCAAAAACGTCCTTTTTCTATGCAAAAACCTACAGGAGAAGGACTCCCCGCGAAAGACAAAGCATCAGGTCTATAGCCTAATAATCAAGCTAAGTAATTCTTCTAATTGCATGTCTTACCGTATAATCGTTAAATGTTTAAATGTTAAATGTATAAGCATTTCACAAAGTTGCAAAAAAATCTAAGAAATCTACTCGTCTTAAAAATTAAATTTAAAAAATAATAAGAACATTTCCGTAACTGTTAAATAAACAACCTATTTTCTCAGAGTAGACAAACGTAAACAACCAGCGTAAAAGGCGTAAGCAAATAAACCAATTCAAGCAAGAAGACAAAAATTTATCATAAATAAATTTAGGGTCACACTCATAAATCAAGCCAGGCTAATACACGAAATTCAAGATCCAAGCAGGCCATAAAGCCGCATTCCACTATGCACTACAGGGCCGGCTCTATTTTGAAGATCGATTTACATAAAGTGATTAATTAATTAATTAATAAATTAATTGATTGATTGATATTGATATAATCATATTGGTATTGGTATTGATGGTAATATTGTTGGTATTAGTGTTGATGTTGATATTGGCATTATAGATATTGATATTAGTATTAATATTGATTGATTAATTGGTTGATACTGATATTAACGTTAATATTGATTAATTGATTGATTGGTTGATATTGGTATTGATTATTTGTATTATTTGGTATTAGTATTGGTATTGACTAATTGAAATTTATATTGAATTTATATAGATACTAATTTAACAGGAAACCAGGCAACAATTGATCATTGCAGAGGGCAGCGTGCGTGTGTGAAGGGAAATCAAGTGGGTGCGTCGCAATATTATATTATTGTATTATATATATTATATAATATACACATAAGCTCACGCAAGCAAAGCTTGGAGGATGGAGAAAGTAAATGGGCAAAGCCCCCACGCGAAAATGAAGTGGTAGGCCATCTATTGAGGCATGCGTTGCACGCCTGACATAGGGGCCGGGTTTCAAATATTGATGCGATACACCACAGGGCCGGCTTTATCTATTTTGTATATTAATATTTTTATTTTTAAATTATGTTGAAAAAAAAATAAGTAAGAAGGCAAAGATATAAATAAATGAAAACGGTATGAACACTAATATAGCAATAAAATAAATAAAGAATATACAAGGTTGGTAGCCGGAGTAAGCAAAAAAACTAACATACCCACCCCCATTCAGGAATACCAAATGAATGGGGTTATTACTAAAGCCCTGGTTTAGGAGGATTCCGGATTGTACTTAGTTTTGGGTCAGTTCAATGTCCTCCAAAAGCCCTTCCTAAACTGGACGTATGGCCCGACCCGGCTGACAAAAATCCCGGGAGCTGCCTTAACCTTTGACACTGTCATCCACGAACTCCTAGGGTGGATCTACCAGCCGGCGTAAAAACTTCGGATCCAACAAACACAGGTAATGCTGTGATTTGGCGGGATACGCAGGAGAACGGAAAGGGGGTAATATAACCTCGGGAGATCAGTGGATGACAATATATCTGGGGCTTGCCATGCGTTCCCATACTCATACTCATACTCATATAATTTTATTTTCAAATTTGGGGAGCATTTTCTAGAAGTGCTTAAGAACCAATTTTTTAGTGTCGGAATTAAAAAAAATATTCAGTTTTTTTTAATCACCCTAATATACAATTAGAATATTTTTATAACTAAACTAATAACAGTTTTTGGTGGTGGTAGAATTGTTTTAGGTCCATTTTGCACTTTGTGTATTACTTGTAGGTCCATACCTCCAGGAAATCAATCCTGTCGCGATTTATGATAAATCCTACATTTTTTTTTATTTATATGTATATTATAGAGATGAGAGGGGGCCGGATCTAAGATTTGAAACCAGGGCCCCACGTTGTCTTGTTACTCCACTGGTCTGGAATGTTTCTGTGGGTAAAAGGCATAAGGGGATAAGTCAAAAAAAGCAATTTTTCAGCAGAGCCTTAAACGTGTTCCCATTAATTCAGGAAATATATTTATTGTTAGCGGATATACCCTTTTGGTAGCATATGACATGTTCTACCAAAAGGGTATACCCACTAACCATAAATATATTTCCTAAATTAATGCGAACACGTTTAAGGCTCCACTGAAAAATTGCTTGTTTTGACTTATCCCCTTATGCCTTTTACCCACAGGTTTCTTCTTCCAACCAAGTGCAAAGTGTTTTTGTTCAAAAGCTATGAAAAGTATTTATATTTATATTTAATCCA